GACCCAGAATGCGCTTATATTAATTTATTTTAGATTATTTCATTGGGAGATGCTCAGGTTGCTATTCAAGTAAGAAGCCTAAGAGTTTTCATAGAGAGGTGGAGGTCAAAGGGAACATAGCTCACGACAGACTGTGACTCCAGAAGCATATGAAAAGAGACAGCAATATGTGGTTTCTAAATGTATATAGCAAAATACTATTAGTTAGCCAAGATTACCGGGGTAAGTAAAAGGAGCGAAGTGAGCAAGCTACAAAACAAAGCAAGATACAAATTTCAAAGACTTTATGGCACCTAATTAATATTATTGGTTTTAGGATTAACATGTAACTGCAAAAACGCTGAAGCATTGGTGTAAAAGACAAAACAAAACACTATTTAAAATAATAGCGCAGTGTGGCTCAGTGACTGAGCATCAACCTATGCATCAAAAGGTTGCAGGTTAGATTCCCAGTCAGGGCACATGCCCAGGTTGTGGGACTGATCCCCAATGGGGGGCATGCAGAAGGTAACCAATCGATGTTCTCTCTCATCAATGTGTCTATCTCTCTCTCCCTCTCCCTTCCTCTCTCTCTCAAATCAATAAAGAAAAAATTAAAATAATAGCACAAACAGACATCCTTAATGTAGCATTCAATGCATTCCTTTAAATAAATATTGACCAAATATCTAAAAGATGTATGTTGGATGGTCTTCCACATTGTTGCCCAGCTGGGATTCCCATAAGCCCCCTCCTGTTCTTGCCTGGGTGTCAACCTGGACTTCTAATGGGAATTGACAGCAATGTTTAAGCGAAAGAGTGAGATAATCGATTTTTTTTTTAATTTTGTTATGCAAGTGATGTCTGTGGTAGTGTAGCTTGTGCACTATATAAAAGATGCCAAGCGGAGTAAAGGGAAACTTAAAGCAGAGAAATGAGTCAGGAGGCTATCATGCAGTCCCATTTGTTGACTGCCTCTGCTGAAGTGAAATTGGCGTGGGGAGGCTTGATTTGACACATTTTTCTGATTTGGTGATTTCTGATTTCAGCATCAGATGAGAAAATGGACACAGAGAAACTAGTTAGGAAGGTGTTGCAACAATCCTGGTAAGAAGGGAAGGAAACCTTGATGAGGTAATGACATTAGAAATGGGAAAAAAGGGATAAATTCCAAAGATATCAAGGAAGTAGAATTCTAAAGACATTTGGATGAACCAGATATTTGGAGAAAGAATTGGGGAGCAAAGATGATCTTCAGGTTTTAAAAATTATCTCCTACAACGTACCATTCATAAAGGTAGTTGAGGCAAAAACCCGCATCTTTCGTAGTTTTCCTCCATCACTGTCCATTGGAATTGTCACCGGCAGAGGACCTTTCAAGTAGTATCTGCCAGAGTATCCAACATAGAAACATGTCATGTATATGAATACACTCATAGAACTACCTTTCTTCATCTAGGAAAAGTAAAAGTGTAGATAAAACACCTACAGGGATCAGCAAAGTACAGCCCACAGGCCAAAGCTAGATAGCTGGCTTTCCTACTCTTGCTTATACTTTATTTTATGTTTGCCTTTTTTTAATGGTCTGTGACTAAGAAGAGTTTTTACATTTTTGTTTTATTTATTTTTTTACCTCACGCAAGGATTTTTTCCCACTTACCTTCAGATAGAATGAGAGGGGGGAGATGGAGAGAGAGAGAGAGAGAGAGAGAGAGAGAGAGAGAGAGAGAGAGAGAGAGAGAGAGAGGTGAGGGAGACACATCAATTGGTTGCCCACGGCATGACCCCAACCGGGGCCAGGGATCAAAGTGCAACTGAGGTAGGTGCCCTTCACTGGGATCTAACCCGGGACTCTTCCGTTGGTCTGTGGGCCGAGGCTATAACCGCTGTGCCAAACCGGCCAGGGCAGTTTTTACATGTTTAAATAGTTTAAAAATCTTCCAAGAATTTTTCCTGACACGCTAAAATGACATAAAATCAAATTGTGTCCTTAAGTTCCACTGGAACACAGCCACGCTCATTTGTTCACATACCATTTATGGCTGCTTTTGTGCCACGATTGCAGATTTGAATAGTTGTGATGGAGACACCATGGTCCTCAAACGTGTAAAATATTTACTGCGTGACACAGTACAGAGAACGCTCGAGGATCCGTGGTCTACTATGAGCCAGGTACTGTACTAAGGCTTTCACACCGTGTCTCTATTTTCCTCCAAACCTCTCGTGGTGTATTAGGTTAAGAGACCTGGAGAAATCCTCTAGCTAATCGAGACCAATAACACGTTTTATTTGTAAAATACTCGAACCATTTAGGCAAAGGTAGTGAGTTCCCTTCTTTATTTTTAAAGCCTCCGATCCTTTCCCTGCTTGAACACTGCTATTTATTTCAAATGCTCACAGTGCGAAAGCTAAATTTTCAGAATACAGCATAAGGCTCTTGGCAAGTCCAACCTTTGAGTCACATTTCATCCCTTTCCCCTCACCCGTCACCACCGAATCGCTCACTGCTCTCCCATTTTGTGCAGACACAAGTTAAAAGTGAGACGTTCAGGAGCTATTTAGCGTTCACTTCCTTTAGGTCCCTTGTCCACCCTTCCCTTGTATGCGTTTCTTCACTGTACTTTCTTCAATTGTCTACCATCAGGGAATATGAAAGGAAGGAGGGAGGGAGGGAAACTGCAAACCACACATCAGTTTCCTGAGGAGAGACGAACCTCTTGTCACTCTGGTCAGCCTAAGGGGTCAAATCCTCGAGGGTAGGGCCGATTTTTTTTAAAAAATCGGAGTCCAACGTCTATTACAGGTTCAGTGAGGAGCCTTTCAGTCATTGGTCCCCCTCCCCCCTCCTTCCAGTCCCTTGGGAAACCTGGAAAACAGAAAATCTTCCCTAGGAAACTCCTCGGGGGCGCGCCAAGATCAAGGCTGGCGCCCGCGTAGCCGCCGGGCGCTGCCGCCCCCTGGCCGGTCGGCGGGGTCTCTAAGCGAACCCAGCGCGGGCTTCCCGTCTGCGCGCGCGCGTGCGCGCGCTCCCCCTCCGGCCCCTTACCCTGCAGCATCGGTAGCGTGACGTAATGCAACCTCAGCATGTCAGCCGCGATATAAAGGACGGCGAGGCGGCGCGCCTCCCAGACGCAGAGTAGCTTGTGATTGGCTCGGGCTGCGGAACCTCGGAAACCCGAATGTGAGGACCTGAGCGAGCCACAGCTGCCGCCCCCCGCACAGATCCCGAGCGCGGTCAGGAGCCGACTGGCGGCGGAGGTGGCGGCGGCGGCGGCATCTGCAGGTAAGGCGACTCCTGAGGAGAAAATACAGGGACGGGGGGCCCCCCGCTCTTGGTGTCGCTCGTGTGAGGGGAGGAGAGGCTCCGAGCCAGCATGTAGTGTAGGGCGAAGGGAACAATGGAAGTGGCGTCTAGTCCCTCAGCCACCCTCCCCCTCGGGCGCACAGTGTTTCTCCTCAGCTGCAGCCGGCGGCTGGAGGAATCGAGGGGAGTGAGTGTCTCTTCCGCGGCTTGACGTCTGCTCTCCGTGGGCCAGACCCTCTGGGGGCAAGAGCCCTCGTTGAGGTCGTCGGTGGTTTTGGGTGACGGGAAAATGGCGGAAAACAAAACGGTGAAGTGAAGAATGCGACGTCCCCCCGGCATGTTATTTCTGCCCCCCACCCCCAGGATCCCTTTCACTCGCGCGCCCCCCCCCCACCTCTCCGCCGCCCGTCGCGAATCGTAACCTTGGAATTCGCGAGGGATGGCTGCATTTGCGAGGAGGTGGCACCAGATCGGGCATTTTAGGGCACGGGGAGCCGTCAGAGCCGGGAAAGGGGGGGGGGGGCGTGTGCTGCAAGTGTCGCCTCTGCTCACACACCACCATTTTGGTTCTCAGCCGTCTCCCACGTAGCGGGGCTGAGGGAGCGGGAGGAGGATGAGGGCTCGGGCCGCGCGGCGTGGGTAGCAGCGGCGGCGACCGCTGCACCAAGTGAAAGGAGGGAGGAAGGGAAAGGGTCCTGTGCCTTCGTTCGCCGCCTCCCCGCGGCGAAGGTGCTGGCGTTCGGCTCCGGATCCAGTCAGAGGGGTCAGAGACGACAGGGCACGTGTGTACGTTCTGCTCGAAACGATGGAAACTTGGCGAGGGCTCGGGGAAGGGAGACTCCTGCGGGAAGAGGATTGCGTCCGAAGCTGCAATACTGCTACTTGCCAGGGCTCCTTTGTCTGCTATCTCTGCAAATACTACTTTCGCATTCTGTTGCTCTGCTGCTTAGGATTTCTCTTCCACCCCTTGCCCTGTTTACATCCCCGAGGAGCCAGGTCCTGAATGAGCTGCGTTTAGAGGAGATTGCTGAGAGTAACATTCGTGTGTGTGTGCGTGTGCGCGCGCGTGTGTGTGTGATTTCTGCTCCCCGTACATTGCTGGAAAGATGTTTACTTGCAGCATACTTGGTGGTTACCGCCATTCAGCAAGGATGCGAGAGACTCAGGAAGACGGAGAAGCTTGGCGATATATTGGCTATTGAATACTTACACTGCTGTTCTCATACCTCATTTATTATTGATCTTATTGTAACTTCCTATATGGGGGGGGGAGGTGCTCCAATTTATTTGGTATTCATACAGCGTGGCACTTCCCATAATAGTTGCATTACGTGTTCAAATTTTTACACTTCATTGAGCGCTAGTGCAGCTTTTTCTCTATGGATTTGGCAAGGATAAAGCTTGCCCTTGGTTGGTTCTTTTTCACTTTCCAAAATACGGTGTTGCTAGTGATTTTTAAAATGTGCTTTAGGGAAGATTTTGGTTTTATCAAGTGGTCGGATTCTAAGTGTAATAATCTTGCTTGTATCTTAATAGGTGTTTCTGTTGGAAACCCTATGGTTGCTTTTTAGATGAACAGATTTGAGCCTATCAACCCAAATTAAAACTGTAAAGAATTTGATTTAGTTGTATAAGAAATTTGGTTTAAAATATCTAATTCTAAATGTATTTTTACAATAGGTAAAGAAAACATTTTTTCCAAAGAAAATAATATATTTCAGAAGGAAAATAAGAAATTGCTGCAGATTTCATTTTACAATGTAAGAAAATCTACAATTTCTTCAAGACTCTAAGGTGATTAACAAATTATAGTGCTTTATCTTATTTAATAACTAAACAAAAGTGTTGGAAACATTTTAAAGACATAATTATTCTGTTAGTTAATAATAAAGCAGTTGCTCTAATTAAAGTTGAAATAGTACACTGTTTTAATTTTAAAAATAAGTTATTAGGGTATTTTATCTCTAAACACACAATTTATTGTGAATGCTCTTGACTTCATTTTGAAGGCAGAAAACAATATGGTGTTTTTTAAAAGATAAAATACAGCAAAGAATTTCTAAAACTTTGTAATTCTGCTTATACATAAACAAAATAATCTTGTCTGAAATATTTGATATGCAGAAATATCACGTGCTGTAGGATTTTTATATATATGACTCAAATGTTGACAGGGGTTACTCTGTGAGAATCTCCTGCCTCCTGTACATCTATAGAACTTTAAGGCAAGGAAAAAAATCTTAGTGATCTCCTGTGCTTAAGGAAAAAGTTGTTTTACATGGCAGCTTTCTAAAATGCTCAATGATGTAACCTTTTGTGCAGTATAGCCCTATTTATTAAACACTCCTATCAAAAAATGAGATGAATGTTTTGTAAATTCACAGATTTTTTTTGGTAGATTTACTTAGAATCTTACGTTTGAAGGAGAAATACACATACGCAATTATGAAAAATATGTAGAGTGATAACATCTGACTTCAGGTTTCATACTATCTGGTGATCTTAGATATAAGATAAGACATTGGAAATGAAATATGTTGATCTCTGGCTTTCAAAATTAGTATGAGGCTAGCATGACTTTATTAATCATTAATGAAAAAATTAATCATACGATTACATGTAAACTATATTATGTAAGAAACAATTTGCTAAAATGTTTGTATGTGATTGATCTTATCTCTACCATATTTAGGAAGCAGTCATGTTTCATGAGTCCTCAAAACTGTGAGACAAGAGAATGTAGTAGAGTGAGCTCAGAAGTCCTTACTGGTTCAAAGAACTCCAGGGAAACTGGGATAGAACATTTTACATTATAAGTAGAACCCCGGGAGCCAGAGGTGAAACACAAGTTTATCTGCAGAGCTCCGCTGCAGGGCTGATCTGGGTCTGGAAGAAATGGATGAGAGCCACTGGATGAAATTCACTAATACTAGACACCTGAGTCCTCTAGTAATGTATAAATATCCCAACTATTGTCTGTTGTCATCTTGTTCTTCTTTTTCTTCTGCTTTTATAACCTATATTTTAACTGGAATTTCAACACTATAGTTTTGTTCTCTTGCTTGCTTCTTTCACTTCCCTATACCTCATCACCCTCACTATGTCTTATTCTCCATTATCTTTGGTTTACTTCCACTTGGCTCTTCTTTAATTTATGGTTGCCACATAAAGCATCTAATCAAGATTTTTGTTTTGTTTTCTTTTGTAATGAGATTTGCACACCTGGTGGAGAGGCATGTTTTCAGTTGCATTTTTTTTTCTCAAAACAACTGACTGGCCTAAATGTTTTTAAACTGTTTTAAAAACCATTTCTTTTACAGAGATTTGTGAATGAACTTTGCTAAGTATGGATTCAGGTGGAGGAGGCAGTCTTGGATTGCACACATCAGACTCTAGAATGGCCCATACCATGATTATGCAGGATTTTGGTAAAGCATTTTCTTTGTTGTATTTTTTTCTTTCTTTTTTAAAAGTCTGAATAAACTAAATATCAAATCTTCATTGAGGAAGGGGAGAGTTACAATGAAAAATTGTTCTTTTGCTAGGAAAATACATTTGTAGGACTTATTTCCTTAAAGTAAAGCTACATGTCTATAGTCTACTTAAAATCATTCTTAAAATTTTGTGGGAAGGTTGAGGTAAGGAAACTTGGAATATAGTGGCAATATGCGATTGGAAATGTAAAGCTCAATTTGCATAAATAACTATCTTACACGTAGGATATATTGAATTAGCTTTCTAAAATATATTTTAATTTGAATTGTTAGTAAAGTTGGACAAGGACATATTTCAGTCATTTTAAAGAAGTTATATGCTTATATAGTGATATAAGAAAATTATGCACTGGGTGATCAATTGTATTCTAATACCATATTCTCAGAAAGTTGATACCTATAGCATTACATTTTTAAAAATAAAAGAAAGATTCCCTATTTTTATGAACATTTTTCAGTAGCCTCTTAAGAGTAGTCATTTTGATGAAGATGCTAAGACTCCATTGACAGTCCACAAAAAAACTGAATTTGGGCAAGGTCAATCTGAATTATAGAAGATAAAGGTATCTGAAGTATAAGAGGCAGGGATAGGTAATGGCAATTGAAGAAAAGATCGGAGTGAGAGTATGAGAATCAAAAAGACAAATGGTAAATTGGGATAAAAAGAAAACAGAAAACATGTCAAAGATGAAATTAAGGATGAGGATTCTTTGCTTAATTAAGAAAATGCTAGTGCTGTTTTCAGATAATATGATTGAATACATTATTTTGTCTCGTTGTACAGCCCAGAAAAAAAATTAATTCTAGTCTTGGCAGTCCTGTTAACTATCTGTGTAAACTTGGGCAAATTACTTAATTCACTTTTATGAGAGGGTTGGACAACATAACATTTAAGGTCTTCTCCAATTCTTTGATTCTTTGACATTTCTGCCTGATAACTAATGGTACAGTGTATAGCTCAAGATCAAATGTGTTGGGGATCAAGATGACTATGTAGTTAATTGATGAAATACAAAGGAATCATGGATTTATTCTGCATATTGAAATATTTTATGTACATTTTTCTTATGTATGTTTATTGAAATATAATTAATATACCATATAATTCGCCCATGTTAAAAAATACAATTCAGTGGTTTTAAGTATAGTTACAAAATGCAACCGTCACCATTACCTAATTTAAGAACATTATGTCATGGTAAAAATAAATCTCATACTCATTAGCAGTTACTCTCTACCCCCTCCACCCCCAGAAGTAGGCCACTACTAATCTTTCTGCCTATGAATATGGACATTTCATATAAGTGGTATCATAAAATATGTGGCTGCTTGTGTCTGGCTTCTTTTACTTAGCATAGTATTTTCAAGTTTCATCCATACTAATACTTCATTTCTTTTTACTGCTAAATAATACTCTACTGCATAGGTAACTAAATTTGTTTATCCATTCATCAGTTGGCAAACAGTTGACTTGTTAAAATATTTTTAATGCACTAGAATTTTTTGATTTGACCTAAAGTTTTGCATCTCTGACTGGAGTATGAGTGCCCTTGGAGGAATGTGGCAATGTACCAATGTGTACCTGAAACCACAGGATAAACAGTACATCTTGGAGTACCTTTATTTGAATTGGGGAAAATACACATAGACACCATTATACATAAACATGTTATGTTATAGAAAGCAAAATTTTCATTCACTATACCCTTTCTTTTTATGAGTAACAAAATGGGAAAATTTGAGTACTATTTCCAGATTTTTAATTTAAAGCCCTTTCTAAAATGAATTTAATAAAGTAAATCAACTTACTTATACCATAAAAAATTTCAAGGCAGTTTTTTTGTTATACAACTGTTCATGATTAGTTTCCTAGTAGAATTTTGTGACTATTGGTTTTTGAAATGATACAGTCTTTTAAATTTCTTTTTTATGCTCTTTTAAATTTAGACAAAAAATAATGGCAACTAAATTGCATTAACATTTTTGGTTAATTTATTTTTTTGAATATTCAATTAGATCACAAATGCCTAATATGGATAATGTTCACTCATTTGTATTTAGGGATGATGCTGACCTAAAGAATAAGTTAGGTTTCCATTTGTCCTTAGTAGATAAATTCTGAAATCTTAGAAGGTAGTAAGGAATTCTTTATTTCTTTATTTTTTTTGATGTGCAGTTCCGAGCTCAATTTCATATATGGGCCTTTTCATTTTTTGCATGTTATTTTAAGAGATACAAAGGAATCAAGCAGATCTAAACATAAAGAGACCTTTATTGGGAACATTTTTGACAATGGAAATTTTAGCCCTGGTAATTTAGGTTTCTTTCTGAAAACAGCCTCCCTGTGCTTAGCATCCCCTCCATCCATTAAACTTTCCTAATTCTAATATTTAATTAGAAATTAGATACATTCTCTTTAAATATCTGCAAACATAAAAACTTAGATATTTGTAATCCCATAAATTAATATTTGTGAAACGGAGTTTAGTATACGCAGGTAGAGGCTAGCCAAGCCAAGTAAATACACTATGTGGCACAGGAACTCTAAATTCTGTAAGATTCTTGGTTGGGATGTGATGGCTACTATAAATATATAAGTGTTTTTTAATCAAATAAGAGCAATAATGTTTTGTGTTGCAAATTTCAAATAAGTTCCCCAGTTGCAGTTAATCTTTTAATTTTTATATAAAAGAGTTTTATATTTTTTATTTGGGAAGAAAAAGAATCTGAAACATGAATTTAATTCATAAATTCATTACACTAGTTTTTTTAAAGGATATTTGAGATTTTAAAATTTACAACATTATGTAATAACCTTACTTGTGTCTCAGTATAATGGTTGCCTTTGGAATCTGTACTGCAGACTTTAATAGTTGTTTTAGATTTTATTGCTGCAAAAAGTCTGTGTTGCTTTGGGACTTAAATAGAAAAACAGCCTTAGATAGTGGCCCAGATAGACCTAATAAATACCAAATTTTATACTATCCCTATAGTGAAATTCCAGATATTCACATTTAAATGAAATAGCTTTACTAAATGGAAAAATGCTTGAAAAGATGACTTGTTTCTTACTGTTATCTGGTTATCTAATTTATTTCACACTTTTAAATGATTTTTCTTACTGTTTATAATTTTGTTACCTAGTGAGATAAATTTTTAATGCCATTTAATGCTGCTTACTAAATGCTTTGAAATTTAAATGAGTTACTATATGGTAACTCTTTTTACTCTTTCCCAAACTATTCCTTTAGTAGTTACTCACTTGGTTAATCCTATAAATCTCTTAAAAGACAGTCTCTAGAGTAAATAAATTTTCTTCTCTTTTCAGGCAAGTATAAAAATACAATCTTGTTTGGAGTCAAACATTGAATTTAGTTCCCAGCTTGAGCCTAGGCCAAGCTTATTTAACCTTTCGACACCATAGTTAATATTTAAAATCGGGATAATAACAACTCACCTTATTATACCTTTGTTCTGAGGCTTAAATGAGATAATATATATAAAAGCACTAGCAAGTTCCTCAGTGCATAATCAGTGCTCAGTAAATATAGCTATTGTATAGCTAAATATGTGACTTTGTTTAGAAAGTCAATGGAGTCTAACAGATGAGCTGGTAAGAGGAAAGAGCAAAATTTCATAGGAGTCTTGGATCTTGGTCTGAGTAATCTGCCAGTACCCTGTGGAAAACTCATTGATTCTTGGTATAGGATTTTTGAGATTATTTAATTCAGGGTAAGCATATTTGGATTTCTTTTTGTTTAGATCTGATTTATTTTGATCTGTAAGTTCCTACTAGAGTAGAGGCTAGGTGAACTGAAAAGCACTTATTTCATCTGTTTTAGAATCTTCCCAACAAGATTAATCTGAACCTAGGCCAGCACTACCATTATTCCATCCTTTCCTAGAGTCTACTCTCAAGAACCAAACTAACCTCCAGCAGTGCTCTAAAATAAATGAAATTTCCTATCATTTAAGTCTGACTTGTGAAAAGGTTTTATAAAATATTAATTTTATTGTTTATATAAATAGAATTTTCATACTGTGAATTTTACAGGCTTAACATTTACTTTTTCCTTCTAAAAATGATATTGCCAGTCTGGTTGAATGCTGAATTTGAAACCTGCCCTGCCTGTCTCCAAAATGGCCACTGGAGTAACAGTGAAGAGGAAGTATTATTATATATATACTCCTCTTGTCTACCAGATTTGAAGATTGAAGTCATGTTCTTTTGGGGTAATATAGTGATTTCAGTGACAGTTTAAGGATAGTGAGAATACAGAAGGGTTGAAAGGAAGATTATCCTCAAAGGCAGCATTCCCTTGTCATTTTGTGTTTTTGATGGGTTAAGGTATTAACAGTGTCCACTGGTCTCCATCCAAATTTGGTAACTACCATAGTGAATTGGTTTATAATAGTGGACACTGTATAGCAAATGGCACTCTTTCAGGTATTACTTTATAGAAAGTGATCATTATATAGAAAAGGCTTTGTACTGGATTATTTCATGTAGATAATCTTGTTATAACCTGGTCTACAAACTTTATTAAATTGTTTACTGTACCACCTCAAGGAGGCAGAATTTAACAGAGCTCCTCATGAAGGAATTATATACTCTCACCATATTTACAAGGGAAGTAGGAGTTGATGTTTACCATGGTGCCCAAGAAAACATCATTTAAAGCATTTTCTCCACAGATTAATTTAGAATTTAATATAATTTACAGTCCATATGTATAATTTTTATCAAAACAAATCTTCTAAAATAAGTTTGTTTTAACCCCCAAAATCAGGTGTTAAAAGAGGCCTTTAATGCTTATAAGGAAGTTCAGAGACTTTTATGCTTATGATACATATATTGTAATATATTAAGCTTATCATTTTTAACTTACCTAATTTAACATATTAGCTAGCACTCTTTTATGTTTATGTGTCTTTTTTACTTTAATATAAAATTTTGAAATATTCGACTCACCAGAAGTAGAAAAATAGTCCATAGGGTCCAAATTATCCTTTACTCATCTTCTTCCATTGTGACATCTTTATAACTAGTACAATATCAAAACCAAGAAATTAACCTTGGTTCATTACTGTTAACTAGAGCACATACTTCCTCCAGTTACCATTTTTGACATACATTTGTGTGTGAGTGTGCATAGTTCTATGCAGTTTAATCCTGTATATGGATTTGTGTAAATACCACCCCAATGAATATACAAACTGTTCCATCACCATATATATGCTATGCCAATATATTCACATACACACCCCACCCTTGGCAACTGCTAATCTGTTCTCTGTCTGTATAGTTTTCTGATTTTGTGAATGTTATAGAAATGATTCCATTTATACATTATACAGTATTGTAAACTTTAGTAATTGGCTTTTTGTACTCAACTTTCTGGAGATTCACTCAGGTTGTTGAAAATATCAATAGTTTGTCCCTTTTTATTGCTGAGTAGTATTCCATGGTAAGGATGTTCCAGAGTTAGTTCAATCAAACATTCACTGCTGAAGAACATTTGGGTTATTTTCAATTTTTTGCTACTATGAGTAATAGTTACTATAAACTGTTTTGAATATTCATGTACAGTTTTTGGTGTAAATATATGTTTTAATAACTGTGGAAAATTCTCAAGAGTGCAGTTATTGAGTTCTATTGGAAGTTCATGTTTAGTTTTGTAAAAAAATGCCAAACTATTTTCCGTAGTGACTGCTACATTTTATATTCCTACCAGCAACATATAAGAGATAACTTTCTCCACATCCTCACCCACCTGTGCAGTTATCATTGTTTTTATTTCAACTCTTCTAAATGGTGTTTACTAATATATCACTGTGACTTTATGTTTTACTTGAAAATAAGATACATAATTTTTAAGGTCCTAATTTAGATTTTACTGAGATTATTTTAACCCCACTTCCTGATTGGTGTTGGTTTTTATTGCACTCAATTTGTCAGTGATTTTTTTTTTTAAATGATGGTTTTACCAGGACTATTTCATACTTTAAAAATATTTTATGTCACTTAATATATTAAATACAATTCTTTTAATTAATAAAATAACTTTATTTTATGGATAATTGTTTGTATTATAGTGGCTGGAATGGCTGGTACTGCACATATCGATGGAGACCATATTGTTGTTTCAGTTCCTGAGGCTGTATTAGTTTCTGATGTTGTCACAGATGATGGGATAACTCTTGATCATGGCCTTGCAGCTGAAGTTGTTCATGGGCCTGATATCATCACCGAGACTGATGTAGTAACAGAAGGTGTAATTGTTCCTGAAGCTGTACTTGAAGCTGATGTCGCCATTGAAGAAGATTTAGAGGAAGATGATGGTGATCACATCTTGACTTCTGAGCTAATTACAGAAACCGTTAGAGTACCTGAGCAGGTTTTTGTGGCTGACATTGTTACTGGTCCTGATGGACACTTAGAACATGTGGTCCAAGATTGTGTTTCAGGAGTTGACTCTCCCACAATGGTATCAGAGGAGGTTCTTGTAACTAATTCAGATACAGAAACTGTGATTCAAACAGCTGGTGGTGTTCCTGGATCTACAGTTACTATTAAAACAGAAGATGATGATGAGGATGAGGATGAGGACGATGTCAAGAGCACTTCTGAGGACTACTTAATGATATCATGTAAGTGAAACACAAAGTTCAGAATTACTTGAGCAATTGATTTATATATAACCTGGAAAAGTTTTATGGGATGAGGGATTCATTAAAAGTCATGGGGTAGTTTTTTTGAAAAATTATTTTTTTCAAAGCTGTATTGTTCAGATGCTTTTTTGAATTTGTTCATATTTTTAATTTAATCAATGAAAATTCATATCCAAAATAAAATAAAAGAATGCAATTTATGCAATTTAATAATTTCTTAGAACAGAAATACAAATTTGGAAGGTATAACAAGAATATTAACTGATACAAAAATTTAATGGCATATATATATATATATATTTTTTATGGGAAATTTATTTTAGGTAGCCACTGTTTTCTTGTTAATATGTCAGGTACTCAAGTTGTCAGTTCAGTTTTGCTTAGGAATTCAAGCATAATACGTTCAGAAATGTGTAGTTTTTTTATGAAATACTTGAAAAGTAAATTATAAACTCAGATTGTGTTCTACAATTCTCCCTGTGTTTTTTGTTTGTATAAATATCTGTGTTAATTTTAGACTGCTTTACAATGTCTTTAAGACACTCTATCTGAAGGAGGAAGGTAGAAATATCTTGTTCTCATTCTAAGTGGTACGTTTGCCTGAACAGCAACAATAATAAAAATCTAATGATAAGTTATTGATGGAGCTAGAGATAGAAGTGTGTCTATACATTATTAAATTTGAAGAATCATGCTGGAAGTAATAAAGATTAGGTAAAGACTTCACTTTTCCATAGAGGATTTTTGTTCTTTTTATAAAGTAAAAAAAAAAAAAAAAAAGGTTAATTGAGAACTAGGGAACTCGTAGGTATATATATAGTGATTGTATGTTATATGTGTGTATCAGTGAATTTAAAATGAAAAACAAATTAGATTACTTTGTAAATATGATTCTGAAGTCTAGTGTGTTAACTTTTTCCTCTATATGCAATTTTGAAGGTGAATATTTGCATTGTTTTTAGGGGAGTGATTAAAGCCACTAAAATACTTTGTGCAAATGTTATCTCTTTTTAAATTAATGTGGATTACTAAAGCAACTTCATATTCACATCTTAATCTGACATTTAAAAAGAAACTATGGCTATGATCGTATAGGCAAAATTGGTAGTCTTTCTGTACCAAAATAAATTCAATATGCACTTGAAAGGGTACTTGTCAAATTAAACTCTTTGGTTTCAGCGTGGTCTAAAATTTAGACATCATATGTATTGTGAATAGTTGTACCTTAACATATCTTCTATGATTTGATTCTACAAAAGGTTTTTAAAGTTTCTAGAAAATTTTAGTTTAGATTATTTATCTTGGTATTACCATATATGTCAAATACAAAGGATTTCTGTCCTCTAATAGACTGAACATTATTTTTTTTTAAAAATTGTATTGCTTGAATAATATTGGAACTGCAGCAGGGTCATTCTAAGGGGAATTTAAACTAGGGATTAATTAACCCTCTATTCATTATTCATTAGTACAGAAACAGCAACAATTTTTTTAAATCCTTTTAAAACTTAAGCATTTTTTAATTTTGGAAAATGGGATATACAAATATACAAAAATTAAATATATATATATTTTTTTATCCTCACCCAAGGACATCTTTTTTTGCATTTTTTGTTCAGATAGAGCGGGAGGGAGAGAGAGAGAGAGAGAGAGAAACATCGACGCGAAAGGGACACATCAAGCAACGGTGACCACCACCCACACAACCCAACCAGGGCCAGGGACAAACTGCAACCGAGGCACATGCCTCTAGCGGGAACTGAACCCAGGTCTCTAGACTGCAGGCCTACGCTCCAACCACTGAGCCAAACCGGCCAGGGCTAAATATGTTTTATATCACCCATTTTGCCACTATCCAGACCCTTGACTGTATTTTATAATGATTATAATACTCAAATTGGGCGTAGGTACTCTTTCTTACCATTTCCATATATTTTATTTTATTCTGTTTTAATATAGCTTTTCTTATTTTTCTATCTCTTAATCTTTACTTCATTTTGTTTACTTCTTGGTTTCTGTTGGCCATTGAATCTTTCAGGAATTCCAGAATTGCCTTGAAAGGATTAGATGTTAAATTAACTTTAAAATTCCTCTTTGTTTTTTTTCTAAGATAGAGATTTTCAAAATATCTGAGAGGTAAAGTTGAGGACTTGAAACAGATATTTGTCTTGCTCCTGAATCTCTGTATAATCCTATAAGGAAATATTGTCAGTAGCTGAGTTTTAGAGGTAGAGAGTTTGTCTTCTGTCGATATTTGAGATGCATGTGAATTTTTTCTGCTTTCAGGGCTAACTTCACAAATTTTTTATCTTAGTAGATGGTCAGGCTCTCCCACTTAAGCTAAGTAACTTGGATATTAATAGGATAACTGTATCTGTCTAAAGTTACCTTAGGTTTGTTTCTCTTTAAAAATACCTAACACCCTTTAAGACATTATAAAAAGAATCATTGAAGGAGGGAAATTTCTTTAAATAATATACTAATATGCTGCATTTAAAATATTTTTGACCTATAAAATCAGTTTATATTTCTTTCAGGAATATATTTTCTGTGAAGCAAAATATCTTGATAAGGTCATTGGGGATATCTCATCAACCTTATCAGTTTCAGGGTTAAAAGAAAAGTAAATACCTTTTTAATATAATAGTTTTATTGAGATATAATTTATGTCATACAATTCACCATTTAAGGTGTTCCGTTCAATGGTTTTTAGTATATTCAAGGAATCGTATAACCATCACCATAATCAATTTTAGAATATTTTCTTTACCCCACAAGGAAACCCCATACTCTTTATAAGTCACCTTCTCCCACTTCACCCACCCCCAGACAACAACTAATTCAGTTTCTGTTACTATGGGTTTGCATATTCTAAAATTTTCATATAAATGTTATTATATACCATGTGGCCTTTTGTGTCTGGCTACCTTCACTTAGCATAATTCTTTCAAGGATTATCCATGTAGCATGTGTTAGTACTTTATTTTTTTACCAAGTAATATTTCATTATATGGATATACATTTTATTTATCCATTTATTAGATGATGGACATTTGTGTTGTTTCTACTTTTTGGCTATTATGAATAATGTTGCTATGAATATTCATGTACAAGTTTTTATGCAGATACATGTTTTCAGATCTCTTGGGTATACACCTAGGTGTAGCACACCTTTGTAATAAAATGTTACCAATTTTTATTTGTTTCAGCATTGTCAAATTTAAATCTTTTACACATATCCCGACCCCATCTCTGTGGTACATCAATATACTCTATACTGATAATATCATATTCACCATATAATTTTGGAATATAACATAAAAGGGTATAGTAAACAGCCTACTTAGCTTTAAAAAGGAATATTATATTGTACATTTTACTAAAATGAAATTTTAATCATACTGTGTGAATGGGTTATAAAAGAATATCGAACATTAACACTTTGCAGTATTGGCCAAAAGTGCACCTTACTTTTTTATGTCATATTTTGTGCCAGTATAATTCTGTTGTGTATGTAATATCATCTGCTTATTACTGAGTGAAATGGCATATGAGTTGATAAACAGCACCATGAGACTTGAATATTGCAAGCCTTATAACAAACAAAAGGTTAAGTTTGAATTTGTGGCATTTTGAATATTATATGCATTAAGAAGTGTCTTTGAAGATCTATTTATAAAGTCAGTTGACTGCCCAGAACAGTCACCCCACATGAACTAGGTAATAGAGGAGTAGTGCTCTGGCCACCCTCCACCCCTCACCCCTACCCTTTCCTCCCACTGCCAGTGACACCCCTCCCCCTTCAACACCCCCCACACAAGACTGATAAACCTTTAACCACATTCATTAAGAAAAAAAGAGAGAGGACCCAAACAAATAAAATCAGAAATGAAATAGGAGAGGTAACATCTGATACCACAGAAATACAAAAGATTAAAAGAAAATATTATGAACAACTTATATGCCAACAGATTGGACAATCTGGAAGAAATGGATAAATTCCTAGAGACATATAATCCTCCAAACCTGAGTCAAGAAGAGACAGAAAATCTGAACAGACTGATTAAAACTAATGAAATTGAAGCAGTAATCAAAAAATTCCCAGCAAACAAAAATCCTGGACCACATGGTTTCACAGGTGAATTTTACCAAACATTCAGAGAACTAATACCGATTCTTCCTGAAGTATTACAAAAAATTCAAGATGAAGGAAGACTTTCAAGCTCATTTTATGAGGCTAGCATTATCCTAATACCAAAACCAGATAAAGACACTAAAAAGGAAGAAAATTATAGGTCAATATCCGTGATGAACATAGATGCAAAAATCCTCAACAAAATTTTAGGAAACCATATTTAGCAAGGTTGGTAAAATATCTGCAAATCAATAAATGTGATACACCACCCACATAAACAAAATGAAGGGTAAAAATTATATGATCATATCAACAGGTGCTTAAAAAGCATTTGGTAAAATCCAGCATCCATTTATGATAAAAACTCTCAGCAAAGTGTAAATAAAGGGAACATGCCTCAACATAATAAAGGCCGTTTATGACAAGCCCACAGCCACCATCATACTCAGTGAGGAAAAATTAAACACATTTTCCTTAAGATCAGGAACAAGACAGGGGTGTCTGCTTTCACCACAATTATTCAACATAGCTGGAAGACCTAGCCACAGTAGTCAGACTAGGAGAAATAAAAGGGATCTAAATTGGAAAGGAATAAGTAATATTGTCATCTTTTACAGATGATGTGACACTATATATAATACCCTAAAAATTCCACCAAAAACTACTAAAACTGATACATGAATTCAGTAAAGTAGCAGGACACAAAGTTCATATTCAGAAATTGGTTCCATTTTTATACACCAATAATGAAATATGAGAAAGGGAAGATAAGAAAATAATTGTATCTAAAAGAAAAAAATACCTAGGAATAAATTTAACCAAGGATGTAAAAGACCTGTGCTCAGAAAATGATAAGATACAGCAGAAAGAAATGGAAGAAGATACAAATAAATGGAAGTATATACTGTTTTCATGGATAGGAAGAATTAACATCATTAAAATGTCCATGCTATCTAAAGCAATCTATAGATTCAACACCGTTCCTGTCAAATACCAATGGCGTATTTCACAGAACTAGAACAAATAATTTAAAAAGACTCTGAATAGCCTCAGCAATCTTGAGAAAGAACACAGTTGGAGTTATCACAACATCTGATACCAAGCTATACTGCAAAGACAAAACAGCATGGTACTGGCATACAAACATACGTAAAGATCAACAGAACAGAATAGAGTGCCCAGAAACAAACTGACACTGTACATAGTTATGACAATACTATTCACTATATTCTCTATGCTGTACTTTGCATCTCCTTTGACTATTTTGTAAATACCAATTTGTACTTCTTAATCCCTTCACTTCTTTCTCCCACTTCCCCCTTTCCCCCTCCCTCTGGGAAACCACCAGTCCATTCTCTATGAGTCCAATTGAATTTTGTTTATTTGCTTATTTTGTTCTTTTGATTCCACATATAAGTGAAATCATATGGTATTTGTCTGTCTCTGACTTATTTCACTGAGCATAATACCCTCTCTTTTAAAAGAGAAGCTATTAAACCAATAATATCAGATATTCCTTATCTTTTTTTTTTTCCATTTTAATCTGTTTCATTGCCTCCCAAAAATATTTGCCAAAAATGTACTAACAGAAATTAGAGGCTGTGGAATGAAAATATTTAGTTTGTTTATATTGATCATTTTGGTGCTTTCTTTCATAGACAATAAATAGTTTGAACTCTTAAATAGTATTAAGTTTATATTTATCACAAAGTTCAAGTTAGCTTTGCATTGTAAAAGAATTTCTAAAATTTAGTTTTTCACTATTTTGAAAGGCAAAAGAACTATGAAAGTGAGGTAGAGAAAATTTAGACTTCACCCATTTAGATCTTCCTGAACTTCATTTATTAAGAGTATTGAGTTAGTCCTGGCCGATTTGGATCAGCAGTTGGAGCTTCAGCCCATGGACCAAAGAGACACGGGTTTGATTCCGGTCAAGGGCATGTATCTCGGTTGTGGTTCGGACCTCCAGTCTGGTGGAGGTGTGTGGGAGGCAGCCAATAGATGTGTCTCACATCAGTGTTTCTCTCTCTCTCTTTTTGTCTCTCTCTCCTTCCCTCTCTTTTTGAAGATAAATGAAAAAAAAAAAAATATCCTCGGGTGAGGATTTAAAAAAAATGAGTATTGGGTTAATAACTTTATAATATCACTTTTTATTCTGTTTTCATTACTTCTGGAATTGTTTAGATGTAGTCAGAGTCTTCACAATTTTATGTTTCATAAATAGTACTATGATGTACGTAATAGGGGAGAGCATATTTTCAGTTTAGATTGCATTTCAGTTTTTTAGAGACAAACTTTAAAATAAAAATTGGTGAACATTTTATATTTGGGAAGAATATTAATATTTATGATAGAAGACAAAAGTTTATTAATATATTTATTGCACAATTTATACATAATATTTATATGAAATAAAATTCTCAGACTGTATAGCAGAGAATCAAATTATTTCAGTATACGTAAAATATTACTTACATATTCTCAATGTTGCTTTACCTATGTATATGATTTTGAAGTAAAGAATATTCTCAATGTTGCTTTACCTATGTATATGATTGTGAAGTAAAGAATACGTTGGTAACTCTAGAAGTGTACAGAATTTCTGGCTTGAACTTGTCTTCCATTGAATCAACAAAAATTAAGAGTATTTACTAAGATTTTATCTTCGTAATGATTTCTGAAAAGCCTTTTTAATAAAATTATTCAGATGTTTTCTGTGTTCCTTCTTTTTTAATCCTAAATTTTATATGTTAATTGGTTTTAGAAATACAGCTTTTTAGCCCTGGCCGGTTTTGCTCAGCGGTTAGAGTGTTTGCCTGCGGTCCAGAGAGACCCAGGTTCGGTTCCCTCTAAGGGCATGTACCTCGGTTGCAGTTTGTCCCGGCCTTGGTTGGGTTGTGCAGTGGCGACCACTCGATGTGTCCCTTTCGCATCGGTGTTTCTCTCTCTCTCTCTCTCTCTCTCTCCCTCCTACTCTATCTGAACAAAATATCAAAAAATGTCCTCGGGTGAGGATAAAAAAAAAGAAAGATACAGCTTTTTAAATTTGAGAATTGTTTATATGAGCATATTTTATGAGCACTATGTATTTTATGTTCTAATTTTTGTGTTGTTATTATTTTTAATCCTTACCCGAGGACATTTTTTTCGATATTGTTTTGTTCAGATAGAGCAGGAGGGAGAGAGAGGAAGAGAGAGAGAGAAACATCGACGTGAAAGGGACACATCGAGTGGCTGCCACCCACACGACCCAACCAGGGCCGGAGACAAACTGCAACCGAGGTACGTGCCCTTAGCGGGAACCGAACCCGGGTCTTTCTGGACTGCAGGCTGACGCTCTAACCGCTGAGCAAAACCGGCCTGGGCTAATTTTTATGTTATTAAATTTGATATTAGGACTGAATTTAAAATGTTGAACGTAATGAAAAATTATTTTATTTTTTCCCCAAATCATTTTAATTAAAATTATATGGTTATTAAATATGATATATGTAAATTGAAACCTGTGAATAATTTTTATATAGTTGTGATCATATGTATATCTGATTTTGTACACTGTTTTTTTTATGAAACATACAACTTTTAATAGTTGCATATAGATCATTAAATGAATATATAGTGGGTAGGTGGTTGCATTTATGCTTAACATTCACTAAATGCCAATGATACTTTTTGACTGAAATAGTTTCATTTTCATATTTTACAGTGGATGATGTTGGGGAAAAATTGGAGCATATGGGGAACACACCATTAAAAATCGGCAGTGATGGTTCACAAGAAGATGTTAAAGAAGATGGATTTGGTTCAGAAGTAATAAAAGTGTATATATTTAAAGCTGAGGCTGAAGATGATGTTGAAATAGGTACAAAGACTAATGTTAGTTTATTGCTGTAATAGTTAGGAATCAGAACTTACCTTTCTGGAGACTATACTAAAATTGACTTAAAAGTGAAGATTTTTTTTTTATTGGTTTCTTTGGGAATAGAAAGTAAAAAATTGTATATGAATATAAAGCAAGAATGCAGAATATATCATACTTAGATTCTTTCAAACATGAATAGAATATTACAGTTGAGATATTAAAACAAATGAGTGAGAGGATTTGGTTTATAGTAGGAAATTATAATGAGTGTTTCAGAGCAGGCTAGAAGAGCCTGCTTGGATTTTAATCCTAGTTCTGCCATTTAGCTGAGTGACATTTGGTGAGTTACTTAATCTCCTTGGCCTCAGTTTTTTCATCCATAAAGTAGCCATAATGATAGTAACTACCTCATAGGGCTATTGCGAGGATTAAATGGGTAAATACATGTGAGACTTAATAGAATGCTTGGCATATAAGTGTGATGTGTTAACATCTGTTATTTGTCAGTGATGACTGAAAAGTTAAACTGTAAATTATAAGAAAATTCTCTTGACACTTAGAAACTTATATTGGAATATTTTGCGAGGATATTTTTCTAAAGGAAAATACTTCTTATATACTCTCCTTATTAATTAAAGAAATTATTCCATGATACTTCTCTATTTTGATATGCGTTTTAATTTTTAAGGCGGAACAGAAATTGTCACAGAGAGTGAGTACACCAATGGACATTCTGTAGCTGGAGTGCTTGACCAAAGCCGAATGCAGCGGGAGAAGATGGTTTACATGGCAGTTAAAGATTCTTCTCAAGAAGAAGATGATATCAGTAAGAAAAGAAGGGCACTGGAGTGATTTATCAGAAGCCATTGTGTATTCTTTTAAAAAATAAAGCATTCTCAGAGATATAATCACTATACTGTATAGTCACTAAAATAAGCCTGACCCTTTGCTATAGTTAATATAAAAGGGAAGGGTCCTTTTGACCATTCATGCATAGACGTATTGTTCAAATCAGCAAACGTGAAATACTATATCCAGATTCCAGGCATGTAATGATCAGCAACATACTGTTGCTGACTTCAGTAGAGCCCACAAAGATGCAGAGAATTGTGGAGAATCTACTTTCTATGTGTTAATGGATATGTTACATGTATATTATCTCATTTAATTCTCACACCTCATCTCTGAAGTAGGTGATATTATCCCTGTTTTATGCAGGAAAAAATTCTCAGAGAAGTTAAGTAGTTACCCAAGATCATTCCAATATTAAGTGAGGAAGGTAAGATTTGAACTCTATCTCACTCTGCCAGTGTTCTTTCCACATGGCAGTTAGCACTGTTGGCCTCTCTCTGGATTTAGCAGTGGAAGGGCAAACTGATTGTTTGTATTATGTCCCTGAGGGATTAGTTGAGTAAGTATTTTTTTGAGTCAAGCTGCCAGGATGTTTACTTATAATGCCTTTGATAGTCTCGAGACCAAGTAGATGCTGCTTAAGACTTCTTAGGGCTGAGTACCACAGAGTGATAAAAGATTCTCAGATCTCCTTTTCTGCCATTTCCTTGTGATGACATTTTACTCTCTGCCTACTTTCTCGTCACTTCCTTGTAGGAATGCATTTTTTCCCTAGGGCTTCTTCTGTCTTCTTGCCATGCTGAGACAAAAACTGCTTTGTTTTACCCTAGAAGGGCAAGAACCTCCATTTAAGTGCATTACCTTGACAGTACCCATCTTTACCTATACTGCATTTTGATCCCCGTTCCTCAAATCTCCTTCCCTTAGAAGCCATGGGGAACTGAATTCCAATCCCAAACATGAATAATATACCACACCTGAAAATATCAAAACAAATGAGTCTAGAGGACTTGATTGGGGAGGTAGAGAATTAAATGAAATAATTTCTGTTTGGTCTTCAAGTTTTTTATTTTTAGTTTTTTGGTCATTGATAAGTAAAGGGGCACAGTAGAAGGTGGGAGACTAAAGCTTAGGTTAGCTGATTTCAGCATTCCATGTGGATGTGGATAACTTAGACCAATGATTCTAGTTAATTGAAAGAACAGAAGCTTAGAAGAAGAGGAGCACTTTTCCCCACGTTTCTTCTATAGTGAATAGAAGATCCCATTATGTGAATAAAAGGAAAAGCATAAATCCAAGCCAATATTCTATTTAACAGGTTAAATTTAAATGGATTATTTTCCATGAAATATACTAATTGACCCTCTGAGTTTAAATTTTTTACATCAATATTATATATTTAAAAACGAGTTTCATTTATTGTTTTTTTCCTCAGTAAAGTCTCAGAAAATCTTACCTCTTAAAGGGTGTCCACATATTCTTGAGCACCAGCAAAAAAAAATATATATATATATATATATATATATATATATATATATATAATTTCAATGATTTTTATTAGAATTTTTTACCATTTTCATTGAATGTATAGTCCACATTTAAGTTGCAGTATGTATGATAGCATGGACCACTTTTCTAGTATCAGTTCTATGGGAAATGGCTTTCTGAGTTTCAAAGAATTATCAGGCAGAATTATGGAGTACAACTCTTTTAATAAAGATATGCACAGTGAACTGTAAAATCAGCCAATATTATCTTAAACGCGCATATTTTATATAATCTAAAAGTCACTTTTATAGGACTAGGTTCTAAAAGGAGAAAAAAAAATTGATAAATGATTGTTTCCCAGTGGCACTAGCTTCCAAAGTGCCTAATGTAATTTTTAGATTAACCAAATTGAAATCTTGAAATATTTTAATTGTTTGGAATTTTTACCCATTTATTAAATGCTTGGGGTTATAAACAAGCAATTATTTCTAAAATTTAGGTTGCGCTGAAATAGCAGATGAAGTTTACATGGAAGTCATTGTAGGGGAAGAGGAAGGAACTTCTCTCCCTGAGACTCAGCTTGAGGACTCTGATGTTAATAAAACAATTGTCCCTGTTGTCTGGGCTGCGGCATATGGTAGGACACTGGCATTTTTTCACCTGATAAGTACGTAACATATCTATTTGATCAGACTTTAGGTCATTAAATATGCTGTGCTAATGCCCTTTATGAGTTGGCTAATATTATAAAATGTTTTGCTGTGGACTGATTAATCTCTAGTTACCTACATGATTTTTCTACCACATATCTTGTGTTATTTAAAATGAGCCTTGCTTAATGCATTGTGTTTTTCAAGTAGGATTAGGATTTATTTGAAATCCTATCTATATAAGTGAGTGCCATAAAAATTTTATTTTTATAAAATAGGAGTAGCCTTTGAAAATTGATCCTCCCCCCTTTGTAAAATCTTATTTTCATGTATTAACACCACAAATAATAAGATTTTGAGGTTTTGAAAAGGAACAAAAATCCAGGCATTCTCTTCTAGAAAATACGTAATAAAAGGTAAATTTATCAAGTTATTTTTTCCTTTCTATTTTCTTTCATTCCTACTTAATTTACAAGATGGTCCAGGTATACTCTTTACTATGAAAAACTTAGGTGTTCAAATACATTAATTTATCTTAACTTGGTTTTTCTAAAGGTTCATTTATTCAAGTCTTCCATTGAAAATCTTCAGTGTTAAGGGTACTCTGCAGAAATATCTATCCAGTTCTTATTTAGAAAGTAAGGTTTTTTTCTGGACAAAGATGCTGACAGCAGGCCTTATTTTCAGTGTGTGAAATTATCTAATCTATGGGAGTGGAAGAACTCAACAACAAAATTTAATCCAAGGAACGGTGGTCAAAGTAAGATTTTGTAGATTAAGATGTGATCCACTAGTAGTCATTATACTCAGCATATCAGTTTTTAATTAGTCATTCTTTTTAGGAGATGAAAGAAGAGTTTCGCGAAGGTATGAAGATTGTCAAGCATCAGGTGAGAGAGCTTTATATGTGAGTTGTAAGTTAAATAGCCAATTTTGTATACTTACTGGCAAATGAAGAGTTACTAGTTTGTATGTACAGACAACATTTGGTGGTCTCTTATTTGCCTGATCATATGTAATTAGTTATATAGAAATTTGTCTCTTTTGGGGATTGATTAATCTATATACAGACATAATTGTTATTCTGTGAATGCAGTTAATTTAGATTTACCTCAAAATACAAATACCAGGAAATTTACCACATCATTTATAAAAGGCTGCTATGGAAAAAATACATAAAATAGAAATTATTTTGACAGAAGTGTAAAAATTGTCCATGGTATCAACTACTTGTTAATATTTTCCTTGGGACAGAACTGTTATCTAATTTTTGTTGCAGTCATTAGGTTTATGTAACTGTTACCTAAAACCCCTGCATAAGCTTTTTAAAAAAATTACTTTAATACAGTCCATATAGTGAGTGTTATACCATAGTTAATATTTCATTTTATTTTCTTTAAAATTAAATTTTTTTCTTTATTGATTTTAGAGAGAGAGGAAGGGAGAGGGAGAGAGAGATAGAAACATCAATGAGAGAGAACATCGATTGGCCGTCTCCTGCATGCTCCCCACTGGGGATCAGGCCCATGACCTGGGCATGTGCCCTGACCGGGAATCACCCGGGGACCTCTTGGTGCATGGGTCCATGCTCAACCACAGAGCCACACCAGCAGGGCAGTTCATTTTATTTTCTTAAGCAAAGGTACTTTTTTTTTTTTTTATAATAAAGTGTATGTCTGTTTTGTTTCTACCCTTAGGAGGTATTTGACTTTCTAAATTTAAATGTAAATTTCAGAGGAATTGACGAGAGACAAAAACCACAGCATGTAAGCTGAAGAGTTTTGTAGGTCTACATTTTTAAACTAAATTGCATAACACAACAGATCTGTGAGAACTAGTATTTTTTTAAGTGCTTTATTCTGTATACACTGATCCTACTGAAATTGTGGTAAATTGCCTGCCACATCTATCTTAAAATACATCTTAATACTTTTCACATTAAGTAAACTATTGTAAAGCACCTATATAAAAGATTTGTGGTTTGTTATATGTTATGCATAGTCACCATGACTAGGTTCACCGATAATTTCCTTTCTTTTTTTTTGTTTATCCTCACCTGAGGACATTTTCCAATATTTTGTTCAGATAGAGTGGGAGGGAGGGAGAGAGAGAGAGAAACATCAACGTGAAAGGGACACATCAAGTGGTTGCCACCTGCACGACCAACCAGGGCCGGGGACAAACTGCAACTGAGGTACGTGCCCTTAGTGGGAACCGAACCCGGGTCTCTCTGGACCACAGGCCGACGCTCTAACTGCTGAGCCAAACCGGCCAGGGCTGTATTTCTTTTCTAAATCTCTTTAATTTCATCAGCCTTCATTGGTGATAAATTGGTCTGATGTCAAGATTTTGTTTAGGGTCATAACAGTTTTTTTATATTACATTCACCTTATCAGCTTATTCCTTTGGGATGAATAAATTGGTATATGTTAAAATTAATTTCACGTTTTATCTTTTTTAAAGTGTTTGCATAAACGCGTGCGTGCACGTGTGTGTGTAAGAGTATAAAAGAAGATAACATGGGTATAATTTGTGAAATTTACTACTACAATGTTAAAGTCAGTACCATAATGGCAACTTGATGTCATGTCATTTTTAGTAATTCATCTAACAAAACCCCAAAATGTATAAATACATGTAGTTTGTGTATCAATTTTCCAGGAAATACTTTGGACTCAACATTAGAAAACAGAAGTAGTACAGCAGCACAGTACCTTCAAATTTGTGATAGCATTAATACAAATAAAGTACTTAAACAAAAAGCCAAGAAGCGGAGAAGGGGAGAAACGAGGCAGTGGCAAACAGGTAAAATACTAATACTTGGCTTTATGGATATAATGATTTGAAAAGTGGAATTATTTTTTGTAACTGAAGAAAATATCAGTTATTTATAGTATAGTTTTACTCTCACATACTTGTTTGTGTTTAATCTAAATAATTGTGTTTTTTTAAATGTGTTTAACTGGTACTTAATAAAACTATGCTTGTTTGCTCTTTATCCAAATGGTATTTTTAAAGAGAATTTTCAGGTTGGTTTAACAATAAAGGGTGCCTGTTTGTAGTTACAAAGTGCATGTGATATAGTATTTTGGCAGATGTGGAATCTATAGTAAAGTGCTGCTCATTAATTTTTAGTGAGCCAGTTTATCATAAATTGTTCTTAATGTGAATGTTATCTTACAAGATTTTATTCCACTAGTATAGTTCTCACATTGTGAATGTCAGCTAATTTGGGCGCTTTTGTTGTAAAATCCTTTTAAACAGTCTGGGCAAATGTCACAACTCGCTTTTTTTTTTTTAATCTAGCTGTTATAATAGGCCCTGATGGACAGCCCCTGACAGTATACCCTTGCCATATTTGCACAAAAAAGTTTAAATCAAGGGGATTCTTGAAAAGACACATGAAGAATCATCCTGATCATTTGATGAGAAAAAAATATCAGTGTACAGATTGTGACTTTACAACTAACAAGAAAGTGAGTTTCCATAACCACTTAGAAAGCCATAAGCTTATAAACAAAGTTGACAAAACCCATGAATTTACAGAATATACACGAAGATACAGAGAGGCTAGTCCACTGAGTTCAAATAAACTTATACTAAGAGACAAGGAGCCGAAAATGCACAAGTGCAAATATTGTGACTATGAAACTGCAGAACAAGGACTATTAAACAGACATTTACTGGCTGTTCACAGCAAGAATTTTCCTCACGTTTGTGTTGAGTGTGGGAAGGGCTTTCGACATCCTTCTGAACTCAAAAAACATATGAGAACCCATACTGGTGAGAAGCCATATCAGTGTCAGTATTGTGTTTTCAGGTGTGCAGATCAATCAAATCTGAAAACTCACATTAAGTCTAAGCATGGTAATAATTTGCCATATAAATGTGAACATTGTCCCCAAGCATTTGGTGATGAGAGGGAGCTCCAACGCCATCTGGATTTGTTTCAAGGACATAAGACACACCAGTGTCCTCATTGTGATCATAAGAGCACCAACTCAAGTGACCTTAAGCGGCACATCATATCTGTCCATACTAAGGATTTTCCTCACAAATGTGAGGTCTGTGATAAAGGTTTCCATCGTCCTTCTGAGCTCAAAAAGCATAGTGATATCCATAAGGGTAGGAAGATTCATCAGTGTAGGCACTGTGACTTTAAAACATCAGATCCATTTATTCTTAGTGGTCATATCCTTTCAGTTCATACTAAGGATCAGTCATTGAAGTGTAAAAGGTGCAAGAGAGGGTTCAGACAACAAAATGAGCTCAAAAAGCATATGAAGACCCACACTGGAAGGAAGATTTACCAATGTGAGTATTGTGAGTACAGTACCACAGATGCATCTGGCTTTAAACGACATGTGATATCAATACATACAAAAGACTATCCACACAGGTGTGAATTCTGCAAAAAGGGATTCCGAAGACCATCAGAAAAAAATCAGCATATTATGAGGCACCACAAGGAGGCTCTTATGTAATAAGACCAATATAAAGAAAGAAACTCTTTGGAAAATATGATATGCTACATGGCAGTAAAATTTCATAAACTGTTTCATCTGGTTACAAACTTGATATTAAAGCATAACTTTACATTCTTTGTATTAAAGATATTTGAATTGACAGGGTATCTCATAGCCCTTTGAAAATTACTTAAAGAATTTAAGAAGCACCATAGAATGGTTGTAGAAAAACATATCCAGTGTCGATTTAATAGGATTATATGTATAAACTACAGAAGGGAAGAGCAAAGACAATGACTTTATTTGGCTGATCATACTAGAGACATGATTCTGAAAAAAAATCATACATAATTTAGGAGTTTAGCAATGCTTTGCTATAACAAGCAAGCCTCACTTTTATGCAATTTTAGAAATGAGTGGGAAATAAAATGCAGTCATCCATCAGTCATTTAGTCATTGAGCCTTTTATATGGTACCTGGAAATTGAATTCCAGAAATCTAAAAGTTTATGTATTCATTAAAATAAATTTCACTGGGAAACAGATTAGATTAATTCAATACTATTAAAAAAACAAATTTCAGAGCTGCTAAAATTTTATCACAGGACAGGATGTTTGAAATAGAGCATTGTGTGCTAAAGTCTAAGGTGAAGTCTAAGAATTAAAGTTCCCTTTTTTCTGATGTTTGAGTTGATTGTTGTTCAGTATGGCATATATGACAAAAATATATTTGAGTCAAATATGGCTTTCTAAAACGGATGCAACCAGTAGTGTTGCAAACAAAGTTAGCACTATATTTCTTAATTATCTAAATATTAAATTGAGAGAACACAGTTTTCTTAAATATTATAATGTTTAGGTTTTTTTAGGACAGTCTTAGCAAGTATGATGGTTCTAGTCTTACTTGCTCTAATGTTTAAAGGTGCAATTTTATGCCATTATTGAAAATTTTGATTTTTAAAATCTATATACCATATAATTAACATGCATTTTCAATATGAGGCAGTGTTTATGCAGTATTTTAAAAAACACTGTACTGCCAATAGAGTTCAGAAGTGGATATTCAGTTTACAGTGTATAAATTTAAAATATGCATCCCTTTAACAATGCTTTGTGTTAGCATGCTGCAAATCAAAATGGCGCTTAATATAAAAAGCTGGTTTAGGGAAATTTAATGAAATCCTCTTCATAAATGTAATGCATATGATGTGTACTTTTAAGTTTTAGTTGCTTCATGTTTACACTCAGCTGTTCAACATCATTAAAATGTAATTTTACTTCATGCTTTATTGTGGCTTTGTGTTTCAACTAATGTTCACCTTTCTGTTTTTGCACCAGATAAGAATCAGTTTCTTGAGAATAAATTTTTTATCTTTCTTAACTTCAGAATATTAAATTTGGAAAATCTAAAATTGTGTGTTATGTGGCTGTAAATGATGTACACGCTGTAAAATAAGATTGTCACTGTTACGTGGGATTATTATTTCTAAATGTTACTCATTGAAATGAGCATACAATAAAAAGCATTTATTGCACTTCAAGGTTGTACAAATTTATTTAAAGTTTTGCTGTAATGTTCATTCTGTATTAAAAGATTTTTCACTTAAAATTTATCTTAGGCAATTTAGTGTGCAGTTTAACTTGTAGAATTTTGTGCATTAGCAACAACATGAGTTAAACATTTAAATAATTATAATGTCTATAACATGATTATTCCTCAAAAATGTAAGTTTTTGCTAAAACCATGACAGAATGCTATAAAAGTGCCCATCTTAAGATATGATACTTAGTATTATAGAGAAAACTAGAAATTCTTAAGCTGCTTAAGTAACACAATCTTGAAAAATGAATCTAAAATTATGTTCCTAATAGAGCAATATATATTCAGAAGGAAAACTATGAAATCAAATATTTGGGAAAGATTTTTGCAAATGGGCATAAAAATAATCTGCTATATTCAAACTAGTTATCTTTCAGTAGAATTCATGTACTTAGATACATAGTACTAATGCTTAAGACTGTCAGTTGGGTTTATTATTCTTTAATGATCACTAACAAAAAATAATGTGTTAATCATTACATATTAGACCAGTGCTTTTTAAAGCTTCAATATCTATAGAGTTTACTTAGCGATCTCATTAAAATACATATTCTGATTCAGTAGACTTGGGATGGGGCCTTCAATTCTGCATTTCTAGTATGCTCCCATGTGTTACCACCAGAAGAGTAATAAAGTGTTAAGCAAAAGTCAACAGTATGGCTCTAGTACACGTTGACAACTTTGTTTAAACAGATAGCTATGGTTGATAGAAGCACCCTGTACTAAGGACATGGCATTTGAGCTCAGATATGAATGGCAAGAAGGACACAGGCATATAAAGATCTTGTGGAAGAGCATCCCAGGCAGAGAAACATTAAAATCAAATAACCTGAGATGGAACAAGCTTTGGCTTGAGATGAGGACTAATGGGAGATGAAACCTGTGAGAATTTGACATGGGAAGCCATTGGAGAGTTTTTAGGAAGGGAGTATGTGATATGATTCACATTTTGAAGATCACTGTGGAGGCTGTGTAAGTAATATATTGTAGAGGAGCTGAAGGAAGTGAGGAGCCATATAAAGAGGTTATTCCAGTTATTCATAGTTACAGTGGAACTGGAGAACAAGTGGATTGTTTTCTTTCACTTATAAATTGTGTCTAGAAAACCTCATTCAAGATAGAACAAATAGAAATTTAACCTATGTTACAAACAAAAACATTATCTTAAAAAATACAAATTTTACTGGCATTGGCCTCTGTTATGACTAAATAGATTTCACCTTAAAATGCAGGTCAGACTATCATCATAAGAAAGAGAAATAATTTGGTAATTATTTTAAAAGCATTTTTCCAGAACAGTCAGGGCCATTTTGTGGAAATTGATTTTTCTGATTTTCACTTCTAAATGGCTTATACAACATGCTGGAGGAACGGATAATCACTGTCTATTGGGATTGTTACTCGGGTATGGCTCTCATATTTAACTCATGCTCATACAGGTCTACCACCAGGTTGAAACTTCAACTGCCCTTAATATATATATGATAGAGCTTGGTTGGAGTGCCTCAGTTGGCTAACGTCACTCTGTGCACTGAAAGGTTACTGGTTTGATTGTTTGATTCCCGATCAGGGCACATACCTGGGTTTCAGGTTTGATCCCCAGTCTCTCTCTCTCTCTCTCTCTCTCTCTCTCTCTCTCTCTCTCTCTCTCTCTCTCTCTCTCCCCCTCCCTCTCCCTCCCTCCCTTCCTCCCTTTCTCTCTCTAAGCGTGTCTTTGAGTAAGAACTGAGAAAAAATTATGTATGATGGTGAGGATTGAGAAAAATATGTGTGATAGATATGTTATATAACTTATTGCAGAAAATTTTCAACCACATAAAAATAGAATGAACCCCCTATAGTATATAGCCACCACTGAGCTTCAACAATCATCGTTTTGTGGCCAATTTTGTGTCATTTATATTCTTCACTCCTCTCTGCACCCACCTACCCCTACCCAGCTGGTTTATACGCGGCTGGTTTATTATGAAGCCCCTTAGTATCACTGGTTCAATTTGAAGTGAATCCCAGATATCTTTTTAAGAATTTTTGAAAGAATATATAGCAAATATTTTTATCTTAAATATGCCTACTTCTGGGGGAAAAAATGACTTGTCTCATATAAAGTCAGAGGGACAAAAGAATCCTCTTCAGATATTTGACTGTTTCTCTTTGTTGTGAGAATGAAAAAAACAAAAACAAAAATACTGGCTAGACTTCAAATTCTATCCAATAAGGTTTTTTGACTAATTAGGCTTCTTTTGGAGAAAATACAGAACTAGGTTAGTACCCTAGAATATCATTGGATTGGAGAATGTTCCCAACTTTGTTCAGCTCCACTCTTGTCTTCCAAAGTAATTAGCTTGTAAATTTGATACTGTTTTAAAAAGGTTTCTTAGAACCTTGGAAGAACCGGCTAGTGTTATTGGCAGTTTAGAGGCCCTGGAAAATAAATTATGACACTTGTAGGGTCAAGACTGTAGCACTAGATAATCCCAAATGAAAAATATTTTCACCTGGCCTTGTTCCAGTTTCTAAGACTTTCTCTTTGAACATTACCCAGATGACTATTTCAAAGGGAGCTTGGCTTCATTTTTTATTTTGGACCAATTGGCAATATTTAAAGTATCCCATTTAATCCATAATATAAGTCCCACTCACCCCCATCGAAATTCAAAACCCCAGTCATGCTAGGTCCCAATAACACCCATTATAACAGGACTAGCTCATTGGACTCCTTTAGGGAACTACCTCAAAAAGCCTATATATTCTCCCATTTTAAGAACTTGGTCTGACTTGTTATATCTTGGTACACATGAGCTTATTATATCTTGGTACACATGGTTCAACACTGACTATGTTAGCAAACAATATATAGAATCACAGCATTATATTGCAAATGCTATCCCTTAACATAAAGCATCTCTGGAACATAAAATGTAGTAACAAAACTAATTTTAAATATGATGGGATGAGAAACCAAACCAAAGACACGATTTATCTCATCGACAAGAGCCCAATCCAGGAAGATTACCAAGACTGGCTAGCAGGTAATTATTTCGTATTCTAGTGTTCCATTGTAGACTAAACAGATGTATGTCTTATTTCGTCACTAAATATTAAGGGTTTTATTTTAAAAAGATGCAATTATTTATTACATTCTCTTTTAATTTATCTTTATTGTTGAAAGTATTACAGATGTCCCTCCTTTTTCTCCTCATTGACACCCTCCTCCTCGCTTCTGCCTACCCTGCCCTCACCTCATTGTTGTCTGTGTCCACTGCTTATGCATATATGCATATCAGTTTTTTGGTTTATCTATTTGTGTGCCCCCCCCCCTTCCCTCAGAGGTTTGTCAGTCTGTTCCCTACTTTGATGATTCTGGATCTCTTTTGTTCAGCAGCTTAGTTTGTTTATTATATTCCACAAATGAGTGATATCATGTGGTACTTGTCTTTCTCTGGCTTCTTTTGCTTAGGATAACATTATTTTTTAAAAAGTGTATTTACTATTTTATCCTAGGATGAGCATGAGATAATTTTATTTTTTTATTGGAAAGAAAGTACTATAGAAACCCAATAAATTTAGTAATGGTGTGTGGTAGGGGAAAGGTATCTTGTAGGGAAGTCTTCTTACATTGAAAATAATTATGTCTACATGTTGTCTTTGTAGATTACAATAATGGGGTAAAATAGAATATTTAAAGCCTGATTTTGATCCTTTTGTACTGTTTGTATTAAGAAAAAGCCTTACAGTTAAAATACTATTACAAGGATGTGAAGAATGCTTTATGGAATCACATTTGCAACATATGAGTTATGGCAATTGGAAGAACAGGTTTGTAAAACTAGGCTTTCAAAGAAGAAACCTACAACAACCAGAGGCCCAACTATGTTAAATTGTTGCCACTAATAGTCCACATCAGACCTTTTTTCTTTTTTCAATTAGAGGGGGTGCTTTTAACTCTAACATAAACATTCACATGATGGTAACTTCCTGAAAAAAATACTCAGCTAAGCTAAAAATCCATCTGTATGTTTCTTACTATGACTTCTGCAAAGATCATACAGATATTTCACATATTTTATTTAGACACTTAAATAGATTGTTTTGCATTTTTTCATAGTCTCCTTTGTATGTGACATCTAAAGTGAAACGTACTGGAATAGAAATTAGATAACATCTTTGCAATTTTCAGAGATAAGCTGTGTGAAACTCGTGAGGGAAAAGAAATCACTACTATTTTTATTGATCTTAGTCACAAGTTGGAAAAGAAATACATACGTTTACATTTATTAAGTGTAAAAAGTGCCTTGTTATGACAACCCCATTCAATCACTATGCATGGATCAAGTGAGCCAATGACATGCTGATTTCTTAACCGCCCAAAGTTATGAACTGTTATTTTGGATTGTTATTTGGGGAAAATTACACTTGTTCTAATATTCAAACAGTTATGGTGGAAGTTTTCTGTTAAGCTACTAAAAACTTCCATTTATATCATATGTAATGGGTCGCTAACAATATAATTTTCTTACAGTTACATATACAAGTAGTTAGCAGAGGAGAAACTACCCTGTTTTTCCTACACCAAGGGAAAACATTTAAGGACTATATAATTCATGAAGAATGTTAATATTTTCTATCACAAAATATTGATAAAATTGGAATTTTATCAATCCATACTATGGAGTTTAACATTTTAGTCAAAGTATTATGATAAAAGAAGGCTTTTAGCTTCATATCAAAATCTATTTGAAAATTAGGAGTATTAAAACACTGTTCCTATTTATGGTTTAATTTAGTGTAGTGCTCACATACTATCTTAACAGTCTTAGTATAATGAATAATTATTAAAGTATAATTATAAAGCATGACAGATTCTCTACAGATATTTGCAGAGATATTTCAGTGTAAAACCTCATTCAAATATAACAAAAATATTTGTTGCCTAAATCTATATATTGTCAAATGCAAATGTTTTATTTTTTGCTAATTCTTAACTTTAAGCAGAGGGCTTGAAATTAAGAAATTTCATTCTTATCTACTAATGTATTTGGAAAATAATTTTGTTTACTTTGCAAGGTCATTACAACCTAATTAATCAACCAACTTCTAAATACAGTAAATACTCTACTATAAAATCTCTTTTTCCCAAGTAGGATACAGATATCAATAATTTCTTATTGCTATTTTTATTTAAGCCTTTATTCAATATTTTAATGTTACATTATGTATTCCCCTATAAAAATGTCTACCTTCTTTCTACACATTACTACAATATATTGTTATATGTTTTTAAGGAAGTGGGTGGACTCATTTGGGGATGATATGCTTTGAAAGAACAGATTTGCCAAGCCAGTGATATGTTCTTAGAACCATAATAGCACCATGTGCAAAAAGTGGATTTATTTACTTAAAAAGATATTATCCCACTTCTCTACTTAATGAAGTTAACCATCACCCTTGATTTAGTTATGCCTCTAAGAGTTATAAATAGCATGTAAGGAAGCAGCTCTTTTAGTCACAAGATTCAATGTGAGAAAAATATATGCTGTGTATACTATACACTAAACTTGTTGTTGTTGTTTTTTTTAATTCAATAGTCTTTGCCTGTTTTTCGGTAATAAGAAGTACCTATCCTTGTAGCTGAATTGCATATCTAATATCAGAGAAAAACCTTCTAATGCAATAAGTTGTAAAATCTCTACCCCAGCAAATTAATTCAGTATCTAGGAAGCATTCTATTGAAAAAATAGTGAATTATATCCTACATTGACTGCAATGGAAGTTTAAATAAGTGGTGTGTTGCTGTACTGAATACAAGAATGTGATGGAAAGGATTCAGGCCTCATAAATGGCTGAAGAAACTCATCTGCAGAACGAATTCATTCCATTAGATTCACTGGGTAGTACCATTGTTCAAAAATTTGATTGGCCTTTTGTTATGGAAAAATAACAATTAAAGTACTAATGCAGACCTCCCAAAATACTTCTTTGAGCTGAAGAGTCATTCATGGCTAGAAAAGAAAAAGAAAAAAAGTTTACAACTGGCTAATAATTAATTAATTTTAAACATTGTCATGGTATGAACACAGTTTTGAAAAATGTTTTAAGTTGATAGATATAAAACCAAAGGAAACATATTGCATTTTGTGGAACTCTTTTATATGTATATTCAGTGATACAATGGTTTGTCTGCCTTTAGTCAAGGTATATATTTCAAATGACTTGAAGCAGTAGGGAGGGAGGATTCAGCAGATTTCTTCCTTTGTGTCATATTTAGAAGTTAAGTATGCCCAAATGTCTCTAACTATTAATATAAATATTTTATAAGTGAACTTCCTTAAATATATTTTGAACTAGTTCTTTTAAGATATCAAGTTTGATATTTATTGCTGCACGTATTTGAGATTTTTAATTTTTTTTCTTTTATTGTTGACAGTGATATAGATGCCCCCCAAATCTCCCCCTGCCCTTTACCCCCTTCTTCCCAGCCCCTGCCCCACTCTGGGCCTTTACCACACTATTGTCTGTGTCCATTGGTTTTGCATATATGCATGTAAATTATTGGGTTATCTCTTCCCATCTCTCCCTCCCTCCCTTCTGAGATCTGCTCCTCTGTTTCATGCCTCCATGCCTCTGGACCTATTTTGTTTGTCAGTTTATTACGTTCATTAGCTTCCTTTTATAAGTAAGACCATGTGATATTTTTCTTTCTCCAGCTGGCTTATTTCACTCAGCGTAATACTCTCCAGGTCCATTTATGCTGTTGCAATGGGTAAGAAATCCTTTTTTACAGCTGCATAGTATTCTGTTGTATAAATGTACCACAGCTTTTTATCTGCTCATCTACTGATGGGCACTTTTTTAATGGGGACAGTAGTAGTGACTACCATTCTGTACACCCTTTATTCGACAGATCTTCACAACGATGCCACCTCTGGGCACATATAGTTAGCAGCAGCAATTGCTTTCCAGTCTTGAATTTCAACATCAAATAATGTCTGAGTGACAAATTTTAAATCCTATACTGACCTTCCCTTGCTGCTCATCTAATTCTTGGGCTATCAGGTATCCTTTACTAGTTAACAAATAGTAATAAGTAATTCTCAACTAATTAATGACCTAAGAAACACAACATATGCAAAGTTCAAATTATCTTTTTTTGCGGTTACTAAATGTTGGTTGCTTTGATTGTTGATAGACAACCATGCGTACAAGATTGATGGCTTTATGTAGTTAGAAAAGGGTTTCAAAGCTAAACACTTTCTGAATTCTTTTTTTATTAAATATTTGAGTTTGTTCAACCAAAAGATAATTTTAAAGTGAGTTATTTAAAAGATGCTTAATTTTAATAACTGTACACTTGCAGTTATTTATTAATTATACATATATAATATTTTATTAACTACAAACCTGAGATTTTAAATTTTCTTCAAAAGGTTTTGCAAATGATTAATTGGCATTTGTATATTTATCTATTACTTATCATGGCATATTTAAGCATTTTAAGACTTTTATTGAAATACAATAAACATATAGAAAAAAGTGTACATATAAGTGTACAACTAAATGATTTTTCCCAAACTAAGCACATGCAGCCATCACCCAGATCAAAAAACAGAATGTTATTAGTACCCTAGTAGTCTTCCTTAACCTCCCTTCCAATAAGTACCTGCCCTCAAGGCTAACCACTTCCTGACTTTAATAACCATAGATTAGTGTTATCAGCTTTTAGTACCTAAGTAGTTTTTAACAAAACCAAGGTTGTCATTTTCAGAGTGTTAAAGTCAGATACTGTATTGTCCCCAAGCTAGGATTCTCAGCTTTTTCTGTCAGTTGCACCTGAGAGATATCATACATTCTTCCCACTTTTATGGACGGCTTTTTGTTACAATCCCTTGGTAGTACTATAGGAGTGTATAATTAGAAAAGAAACCCCAAGGTCATTCTGTTGTGTTATTAGGGTTTCTCAGACTCAACACTATTAACATGTGGGGCTAAATAATTATTTGTTGTAGGGGACTGTCCTGCACACTGTAGAATTGTTTAACAGGATCCCTAACCTTTACCCGCCAGGTGCCAATAGTTCTCAACCCCCAGTTGTGAAAACCAAAAATGTCTCCAAACAGTGTTAAATGTCCCCTAAGTGGAAAAGTTGCCCCTGGTACAGGACCACTGTGCTAGCAAAACATATCCTTTATTTGATATTTGTTGCTTTAAAGGTTAATAGGACAATAAGGGGAAATTTTAGGAAAGTGGCTTTCAGTCCTTTAGGAGAAGAAGGTTTTAGTAATCAGCCACCTTAGCAATATACCGGACCATTTACAAAGATGCTAAGGTCTGTATCATCTTGTCATCCTGGAGAATGTTTCAGAAGGTAGATGTTAGAGTACATGACATTTAAAGTACTCTTCAGCCTAACTATAACTACGGGATTTAAAGTTAGAGAATCTTATAATCTAGTTATAAAGATTCTCATTCAAAACCTTAAATATTTAGAATCTACAGAAATAAGTAACACATACAAGATTGCAACAAAATTATATTAAAACCTGCTTCTCCATCTTCCATTCCCCTTCATAATCATCTATAATATTTTCTACCTGCTTTAGAAACAATAAGGTTTAATGAAAATTTGAATAGAATTGGTTCAATAATTCCTAAGATGTACAAAGAAATAAAATTAGTTCATTGCCAATGTTAATTGTTTTCCTCTTTGGGGTAAAATTAGATCTAATTTATTACAGTTTATAATACCCTACATATGAATCATTTCAAAATTTCTTATTTTCCTATATACCAGTAAGGAAACTATGAAATATCTATAAATTTTTAGTACTAATAGGACTGGATATACTCAAGTGAACTTACACAGGTCCATTTGTCTTCCGTTTTCTCAATCACAATTGTCTGTGTGTCACTACCTGGTGGTATATATTCATAGTCATCATACAGGAGGCCTAGGATTGGATATTGTGTCCTGTACCTACACAGAAAAAAAGTTAGTTTACAAGATGCACAAGAAAATAACTTTAATTCTTATTTAGTCATTTCTAGTTTGATTCCCCTTATTAAATTAATTTGGCTCTGCATGACTTTTAACTTTTTAAAAAATATATTTATTTTTTTTAGAGAGGACGTGAGAGAGAGATAGAAACATTGATGTGAGAGAGAAACATTAATTGGCTACCTCCTGCGTGCCCCCAACAGGAGATCCCAGCCAACAACCCAGGCACATGGCCTGACTTGGAATTGCACCAGAACCTCTTAGTCCTTGAGAGGATGCTCAATCCACTGAACCACACCGGCAGGGCAACTTTTCACTTTTTCTTTAAAAATCCTTTGTTTATATACAAATATTTACTACTACTATTTTCAAAAGAGTAAGATGGAGGTACTTCTATTTCTGGAAATGATGAACTACAATCAGCATGAGACAGTGATAATAAAGAAGAGAAGCAAATGACATAAGCCCTACGAGTGCTTGGAGATTTCCTTCGTCTGGGATAGGGAAAGAGAAGCCAAACAGATCCTAGAAGTCTCACTAGGTTGAGGTGACAGAATTTCAAGTAAAAGTATGCCAAAGTAGCCAGAATTTGTGGAGCAGAATAACAGATAGGAGAGAGCTACATAGATGTGGAGAGGTCAGGAGACCTGTAGGGGGTTTGCCACAAGTCTTTGGGTGAGTACTGATCATTGTAGGCATATGAAAAAGTTACTGAGGCTGGGGAAATAACCAATGGAAAGGAGTAGTATGGAAATTCCCAGACCTCATGTAATAATGGGAATAGTTTGTGTTCCACTAAGCAGAGTGGAAAAAACTCCTAGTATGGGTGAAAACAGGCAGAGACTACAGAAGTATTGCCTTAGTAGTGCGATGACATTAGTCCTAGACTGTGGGTTGTTCTATCAGAGTTTAAAAGCATGACTTGAAAGTATTAAACTGTTTCCAAGTAACTTATTTTTATTTCATAATTAAACTACAAGGAAGCAGGTATAAATGACCAGCAATGAAGAGAAAAATAAATTATTAGAAACATACCAAGTGATAGATAAAAGAAATAAGCAGGTAAGAGTACAACTATCAGAAATATAAAGATATAAAATTTATACTAAAAACATAGGTGAAAGCATTAATAATATGAGGAGAACAATGAAAGATATAAAGATCTACATTGAACTTCTATAGATGAAAGTTGAATTGTATGAGATTAACAACATTTAGGCACTGCAGAAGAAAATAGTGCTAAATTTGAAGACGTCAAGAAAACGTATCCGAAATAAAAGGAGAGTAAAAACACTGAAAAAATGTAGAGTATGAATCAACTATGGAAAAACCAGGTACCCTCATATATGTGTAATTAATGTACTAGAGGATTGGCATGAGACAAAAGTAATTGAAGAAATAATGATAAAATTGTTTCCAAAGTCGTTCAATACTACCAACACACAGATCCAGGAAGTTCAATGAACATCAAGGAAAAGAATGATGAATAAAAACACAGGCACATTATTATCAAATTGTAGAAAACCAGTGATAAAGAATCTTGCAAACAGCCAGAGACAAAAGAACATTACTCAAAGGAGAAAATAATAATAAGATAAACAGCAAATTTCTTATCAGACAGTGAAAGTCAGAAGATGGTGGAATGACATCTTTAAAGTACTGATAGAAAAAATAACTATCACCTTACTATTCTATACACAATAAAAATAACTGAACAATGAAGGCAAAATAAAGATGGTTTTTGGACACAAAAAGCCAAGAGAAGTCTTTACCAGCAGAGCAGCATGACAAGAAATATTAAAGGAAGTTCTTTAGGCAGAGAGAAGATAATATCAGATGGAAATTTGGTGCTAAGCAAAAGAGTGAATAGCAACAGAAAAGGTAAATATGTGGGTAAATTAAAAATAGTATTGGATATTTTTTCTTATTATTAATATATCTTTAAAAATAACTATTGAAAATTATACTGTATTGAGGGGCTATAATATATGTAAAAGTAAGTATACGTGGCAAAATAACAAAAAGATCATGAAGGGGAAATAGAAGTATACTATCATAAAGTTTGTATGCTACATGTGATGAGGTATAATAATATTATTTGAAGGTAAACTGTGATAAGATAAAGAATACTTTAAGCCTTTGCAATAATAAAAAAGAAGTATACTTAATAAGCCAATTAAATAGATAAGATGCAATAATGAAGAAAATGACTAATTAATCCAGAAGGAAAAGTGAAAAGAGGAAAAGTGAAACAAAGACAATATGGGACAAATTGAAAGATGGTAAATTTAAACTCAAATATAGACAATCACATTAAATATAAATGATCTAAACACGCCAATTGAAAGGCAAGTAATCGCTACATTGGGTAAAAACACAAGACCCGCCCTGGCTGGTTTGGCTCAGCGGTTAGAGCGTCGTTCTGCGGTCCTGAGAGACCAGGGTTCGGTTCCCGCTAAGGGCGCGTACCTCGGTTGCAGTTTGTCCCCGGCCCTGGTCGGTTGTGCGGGTGGCAGCCACTCGATGTGTTCCTTTCACATCGATGTTTCTCTCTCTCTCTGTTCCTCTCTCTCCCTCCCACTCTACCTGAACAAAAAATGGAAAAAATGTCCTCAGGTGAGGATAAAAAAAAAAAAACACAAGACCCAACTATATATATTATTTATTTAAAAAAAACTTTAAATATAAACAAATTAATAGAATAAACTAAAAATAATATAAACTATTTATCATGAAATCTATAATCAAAAGGAAGCTAGAGTAGTTATGATATCAGATGAAGTAGCCTTTAGAATAGGAAGTATTAGTAGATATATAAAGTTTCACTTAATAATAATAGAGGTGTCAATTCATCCACAAGATGTAACAGTCCTTAATTTTTATTTAATAGAACTTTACAATCCTAACAGTTTATGTTCCACCTACCATAAATTCAAAACACATGAAGCAAAAACTGATAGAAATTAATGGAGAAATAAATTTACATTATGAGTTGGACATTTTAACATGCCTTGTAAGATAACTGATATTAGCAACAGAAAATCAGTTAAGATATAGAAGCTATGAACAACACTATTTACCAAATTGAGCTAAGTGAAATTTGTAAAATGCTCCACTTATCATGAACAGATTATGCATTCTTTTCAAGGATATGGAACATTTACCAAGAGAATGTTTATTCTTGGCCACAAAACAAGTTTTAATAAATTTAAAATGATTATACTGAATACAAAGTATGTTATCTGACTATAATGAAAATAAATTAGGAATCAATAACAGAAATAGGTCTAGAAAATCCCCATAGATTTGGAAACTAAAGGATACAGTTCTCTATAATCCATAGATTTAAAAAAAAAAATAAAACACATCAAAAGGGAAATTTAAAAATATTTGAACTGAATGCAAATGAAACTACAACTTAAAATTGGGGGATGCAGCTAAAGCAGTGGTTAAGTATAAACTTGTAACATTAAAAGCATATATTAGAAATAGTCTAAAATCAATGTCCTATATTTCTAGGTTAGAAACTAGAAAATAGATGATTAAGTGGAAAATAAAGAAATCAATGAAATATAAAATTGTAAAGCATAGAGGAAAACCAATTAAAACAAAACCTGGTTCTTCAAGTGGTGTAACCAACCACTGGAGGGTTGGTTACAAGTGAACTCATAGAAACAGAGAACACATTGGTAGTTGCCAGAGGAGGGGGATGAGAGGTGGGTGAAATGGGTGAAAATGGTCAAAATGTACAAACTTCCAGTTATAATATAAATAAGTCCTGGAGATATGATATACATCATGGTGACTATAGTTAATAATACAGTATTGTATATTTGAAAGTTGCTAAAAGAGTAGATCTTAACATTTTTTACCTCAAGAAAAATATTATAACTATGTGTGGTAATAGATGTTAACTAGACTTAGATTTATACATTTTGCAGTATATACATAAGATGAGTCATGTTGTACACCTGAAACTAATATAATGTTATATGCCAATCATATTTAATTAATTAATTTATTTAAATCCTCACCCTAGGTTATTTTTCTATTTATCTTCAGATAGAGTGGGTGGAGGAGAGAGAGAGAGAGAGAGAGAGAGAGAGAGAGAGAGAAACATTGATGTGACAGAGACACATCCGAACTGCAACTTAGGTACGTGTCCTTGACCGGAATCAAACATGCAATTCTTTAGTCCATGGGCTGACACTCTAACCGCTGAACCAAATTATAATGCTATAACTTGGATTATATAATAACTAAAGTCTTATTAAATTTAATTAAAGATACATTACTTTTTAGTAGTAATTGTAGTCCTTCCACCACAGGAGGGTTGGTTATGAGATGAATATATTTCTTGTCTCAACTTCGAAAGTTCCTTACAAATGAGAGGCAGTATAATAATTTGAAAACAGTGGTAACATGAGTTAAGGAGTATGTTCAATCATTTAACAAGGTTACTAAGAATAATTACTTGTTTTTCTTCCTTGTTATCCCTGAGGTAAAATGTTCTAATCCTTGTTGAATATTATATATTCTTACTTCATAGTATTCAATAAGTTACATCATATATCTGTGCAGGAAGGAATCCACTAATTGCTATAGGATTTCTATATTTGAGGGATAATATGAGATTGAATGGGCATAGTTCTCAAGGTGATGTGAAAGTTTTTGTCTTAAAAGGCTTGACAAGTATAGCCATAGCAGAAAAGTACTGAAACTTCAATATGGGAGCAGGTATTGTTTTCTAAGAGAAAGTCAATCACTGAATCTTACTATAAGTACCATTTGTTCAACAGCAACAATACAACATTAGCCACCATTTTTGGTAGTTCCTTCCTTTGGTATAGATTTTATAACAGATCCTGGCTATATGCTACAAATATAGAGAGGAATAGAACAGTCTCTTCCTGAAGCAGCTAGTAATCTAGTAAGGAGCTCACAGTCTTATTGGGAGTGTCACTGTCAATGACGTATAAAGTCAATGTCTTAAAAATATTAAATGCACAATGACACTTATTTTTGCTTCAATTTTAGCTTTCATTTGAATTATTTCTCCTGAAATATGAATCTTCTACCTCTTCAGATTCACATTCTACTACATGAATACACTACTTGAAATGTGTCCCCTTCTAATTCATGGGAAGTATTTATCTTACAGGACTGAATTGTATTGGTCCTCTCTACCCTTATCCCTTCCTTTCTTACCTCTGACTGACGCTTTATAAGGGAATCCTTCTCTTCCAGCAAGCTTGTCAGTTCATGAATCTTGAACTGGAAATCACTGCAACTTCCTTCTCTTCTTGAAACATCTTTTTGGTACTGATTTAGTTGAGTCTAATAGTTTAAAAAGAAATAAGTATTATAATTCTTATTTACAAAATAGGTAACTGAGTTCCAGAGAGGTTAAATGACATAAAGTCATGTAGCTAGCTATGAAATGAAGAGCAAAATACCAATAGATATACACATTTTTAGACCTTTATGAATGCAAAATGTGAATTTAAATGCAAATTAGAAATTTCTCATCTTTTTTATTATTATTTTTTTCATCCTCACCCGAGGACATTTTTCCATTTTTTGTTCAGATAGAGTGGGAGAGAGAGAGGAAGAGAGAGAGAGAGAGAAACATTGACATGAAAGGGACACATCGAGTGGCTGCCACACGCATGACCAACCAGGGCCAGGGACAAACTGCAACCGAGGTACGTGCCCTTAGCGGGAACCAAACCCAGGTCTCTCTGGACCCTGGACCGCAGGCCAACACTCTAACCACTGAGCCAAACCGGCCAGGGCTCTCATATTTTTTAAAGTGCCTTTACTATTTAGGGCTAGGCATTACGTAAAGAGCCAGTCTTAAGCCTCAATAATGAAAATAAAGCGAAGAAAACAGGAACTTTATATTTCTTCGAATTCTAATTAAGGAAAACTCAATAATAATAACTAATATACTGTGATTTGCAATTCACAAAATATTTCTCCTACATGACATATCTCAGTTCTTACAGCAGCCCTGTGAGATAAGTATTATTACAATACTTATTTACAAAACATGTAGATGAGATCCAGAGAGGTTAAATGACACAGAGTTATGCAGCTAATGAGAAACATAGCTGCAACTAACTCAAAGACTGATCTTCTGATTCCAAATCCTGTCCATTTTCCTCTTTAGTATATTATGTGTGCATAGATGGCCATTAGGTTGAAGTGGTATTAGTAACACTGGCATGAAAAAGAAACCAGTGGAGGAAATTTGCTAGAAAAATCACTAGGCTTTTGAACAAATAATAATTTGTTTCATTTTGATTTTTGGTTAGAATTGTACAGTGATATTTGGAGAGAAAAATCTGTGCTCAGTTTTTGCATTAAATGTATTCATGAACAATGGACATGGACAACAAAGTTGGGGACAGGGTGGGGAGGGAGGGGGAGGGGGGAATCAGTGGGGGGAAAAGGAGAAACATCTGTAACAAATATAAATTAATTAATTAATAAAAATATTTAAATATATTTAGCTATATTTAGGAATCACTAAATTAAGAGTCAACTTGACCTAAAAGTACAAGATAAGGCAATGCATACTTATTCTCACAAATATTACCCTAATTTTGATGCCAATTACATGTACATAATTCCTCACTGTTTTTACGTTTGTGCTTGACAAAGGTATTGCTATGTATTGTTCCTCAAAGTCAAGTGAAGATTTTTATGAATCTATCTATGGCTTTTCTGGATAATCTCAAATGTTTCTCTTGCCTGCATATGCATGCTTTAAGCAAGATCATAAATAGTCCCCCTGCTATCAAATAAATAAATAGATAAAAATTAAAAACCTAAACCCTGAACTTAATATATTTTTGATTTTCTAGAAAAGATTAAGCTAAATTAGAAAATGATTTAGCAACATTCTATGAACAGTGGTATATATATTTAAACAAAAAGTTCTATGGCACATTCTTAAAATTCTACCTTCACTTCATTTTTCCTTGTAGCTTTAAACTGGAACCATTATTATTAGAAACTTTGTGCTGACCTGCGTATTTATGCAGTGTAGGATCAACTTACCCTTAGCTTACAGATCTCTCTGTCTTTCTCCACTCTTAAGTTTTTTACCATCTCCATGTACTGATTGCCAATCTCATCCATTTTAGCTTGTAGCATTGGGCCTGTGCAAGTCTCAGAAACCTACCCAAGACAACACAACTCTCAGTAATTGGATTATGAGGGAAATAGATATGATATTACAACATTTAGTACATGAAAATCTCATGATTATATGAGAAATTGAAATAATGAGAACAAATGTTAGGAATTGTATTATACAGCCCAAATGGTAATAAGACCTAACTGCATATGACAATATCAGAAAGCAGTCCATGTATTTTCTCAAAATGAATGGGATTATATATTTATTTATACAATATAATTACAAATATAAGTGTGTTTATATACATATATGTATGCATGCATATATATATATACATATATATATATTTGCCAATGCTAAGATCACAATAGTATAATTAATGCAATAACATATATTTAGAACAAAATTTTAATACCTGAATTCTAAGGTTTTTATTCTCTTGCTCTAAATTATGTTTACAGTATTCCAGTTCTTTTAATCTATATTCCATGTCTGATAGTGTATGTCGAAGAGAGAGATTGCTTTCTTCCAATGTTTGACATTTTGAAGTTGAGTCTTGAAGTCCTTGCTATAAAGAAGAAACAAGTAAATAAGATAAATGGGTTCTAGTTTGGGGGAAAGAGTGTTCTTTCAGTTGATTAATTCTATGAAATAAAACAAATATTTTTCCATGCCCAGTTTTCTTAAATATTGACCCTTAAATTGTAAGTTAAATCAGCCATTTAAAATATTAGATTATTGCCTTTATTCTGACTTACCTATCCTGAGTGAAAAGGAATCAAGACTAGATGAAGTATCATTGTACCAATTTAGCAATCTCACTCTATTATTGACAGTACTACACCCTGCCTTCTAATAGACACCAACATGACCATGTGCCTTATTATTTATGTGACAACTGCTTTCTGAGCAAACATTTGGGACTGTCATAGGAGTGCATATTAGGAAGAGATTAGCCTTAGAAACTCATTACAATTTCCTAGGAATCAACTGTGCTCAGACATCTGGAGAACACTTCTGGAGTTGACTCTGTCATTTATTCATTGAACAAACTATTTATTTATAGATCAAATGTGTTAAGATCTATACAAAAACATTTTTCATAGCACACTATTAGATTAAATCAATGAGTGAACTTATATTTTCAATATGTATGCAATTCTTATCACTCAGCAGTATAGATAACTGTGGACTATGTACAATTTATATCTAAAATACATAAGATTGTCCTTATCTGAGAGGCTTTTCAGTCATTGGAAATATCCAAAGCCACTCAGTTCTCATATGGACAAATTGTTCCATCATATTTTAATTGTGTCTGGATTGTATCTCATAAATCCGATGTGCCAGTAATTATGCATAGGAAAAGCCATCAATCTAGTTTATCATCAATGAAAATGTCAAATTACCTGCTGCTGACGATTATTTGCTCTCACTGATGCCAAGAGCTCTTCATATTCTTTTATTTGAGTTTCTTTGAAAACCAAGTCTTTTTCAAGTCTTAACTTGTCATTTTCCAGGGACTAAAACAAAATTATTTGTTATGAATCAGAATTATAGAAACTTGTCCAAAGTCACATAATACAAAGACTTATTTACATTGGAACATTTAAATAAGCACTTTTCATTTGTAGTTGCTTAATAAATAGAATTCTTTAAAGTTAAGCAAAATATGGATACAAAAGTATTGAAACTTTAAAAACCTGCATATTGAAAGAGACAACATGATGGATTGGCTAATTCAAAGTGCAATGAAGCAGAAACTTCTGAATGATTTTAATGTTTTGCCTTAATCTACAAAGACTTCTTGTTAATCCCAGCAGGTGGTGAATTTTCAAAGTGGAGTCTAAACGTATTAATCAGAACCCAGAAACAAAACAAAACAAAACAAAAATCCCACTCCAAAGTCCTCAAGGAGTTATTCTTTGGATGAAAAGCATTCTGACTGTATCTAGCTGATGGCACCAAGAACACAAATTGAAATAGAAAAAGTTGAATGCTTGTAGAGAGAAGTTTTCAAGTATTCAAAGAAATTCAGACTATGCTTTATCATTACAGAAAATGGGGAAATTCCCACTCAATGAGTCAGATTATTCTAATTTTACAAGCTACTTCCTGGCTTTAAGCAGTACATTACTTTAGTGTTAAACTAATTAATAGGTACATTCCCAACTTTATTTTTACTCATGGGGCAGTTCTTTTCTCCTCTCAGGCTCAGTTAAAGGCTCAATTAAGTGTTTCAAGAAAATAACCGTGTCTGGGTAAGTATAATGTTGTGTTGTGTTGTGCTAAATTTTAAAAAGTAGACTGAATGCCTTGATTTCTAGCTTAGGAAGGTAAGAACTGGAAAGACTTAGAAAGAAAAATAAAAATAAATGTTACTGTCAAATCATTTTGAAGATGTCCAAGCTCCTCCCGTATGTTGCTGAATGTGGACAGCACCAGCCGGAGTGATTTATCAGACATACCTCTCATCTGGAGGAAGAAAACAATTAAGAGTGTACTTTTACTAGCATTTAAAATAGGCAATATAAGTGATAGTGATCTTATTTTTCTGTTCCAGAAGCAAACTTATTAACAGTTTTATTTTTGATATGGCAATACTGTTACTAACATGTATAAATAATTCAGGCAATTCTCTTAAAGAAATCATAGCTATGTAATTAGAATGAGGTCTATTATTTTTTTCATAAAGAAGTGTCATCTTTTTCACAAGACATAAATTTATCAGCAAATTGTCAAACTTACTTTTATTCTTTATTTAAAGATTAGAAAAGATAATACAGTCCACCTTCAAATAATAAAATACACCTTCCAAAGTGTGCTCCCAAATGCATGGATTTTGCCTCAGATGAGAAAAAAAATGACTTTCGGTTTAAGTTTAACCTTAAAGTATAGAAACATCCCAAATTTTAAAGAAGTTGGAGAAAAGCCTTTTTACTAGGATAAACTACATTCTTCAATGGAACAAAAAATTAAGGCAAGTGTCATTTCTGGAAAGATGAAGTAGAAATACTTTTTTCTATTTTTCCTGCTAAGTATAATTAAAAAATCTGGGCATTATATATAAAAAGACTGCAAAGTGAAAAGAAAGAAGTCTGGTCAGGAACATTGGGACCTGAAGAATGATACATAAGTGAGTTTCTGGGTTTTCTTTTTGCTTCATATATCACAGATTAGTGTTGTGGAATTCAATAGCCCGGAGACACCACTGGTTACAAATAACAAAAGTCCCTAGAAAAGCCTGCTCTCTGTAGCCAAAGGACCATGAAAAGGGCAGCCTAGCGAGGCGAAGTACTTTAAGATAATAATCACTCTACTCCAGCTAAACACCACAGTAAAAAGACCCTGCAACCCTTCTCCCACCCAAACCATCAAAAGCCAGGAAGGAAGCCTAGATTTTTCCCCTCACCAGGCCTTAAAAAGGTGCATCAACACCACTCACCAGATTGGTGTTAGAAAAGGTATAGGGGAAAGATGGAACTGTCATCCTCACTGGGCAAAAATGAGACCACAAGCACTGTGGTATCAGCTGAGACTATGAAATGAGCCTGGACTCTCACCTTATTCAGCAGTAATAAGATACGGCTCCACCTCTTTGCTAAGGTGATGTCAGAGGATGCTTAGTGGAAAACAAGGACCTTTACCACTGCCTAATGGAAATGAGACCACTCAACTTGCAGTGTCAGTGGAAGCCAAGTCAGGAACAATAATGAGGAATTTCTTCCTATATCAACCAGGCCTTTAAAAGGTGGGGACATAGCAGAGGACCACAATTCTTACTCCTGCTCAGAAAGATCAAGAGGCTTTTTTCCTGATCAGTGTCAACAAAGGCTAAGTGGGGAACTTGGACTTCCACCCCCAACTGGCAATAATAGACAGTACCCTCATTTCCCCTGTTGTTTCAATATCAGAGGAAGCTTGCTCATAAAGAAAATTTGAATAATATCCAAAGTCATAATATAATACTAAAAATGTCCAAGTTTCCATTTATTAAAAAATCACTCATCATTTCAAGAATCAGGAAAACCTCCACTTGATAACAAAAAAAAAAATTAATAGATGTCAACATCAAGATAACAAAAGTATTAGAATTGTCTAAAAAGAATTTGAAAGCAGACATCATAAAAATGCTTCAACAAGAAATTTCAGACATAAAACAAAATGGAAAGTACAGAGCAAATAATTGCTGACCTTGAAGATAGAACATTAAGAAGTGCTCAATCTGAACATCAGAGAGAAAATAGATTGGAAAAAAATTAAGCAGAGCCACGGAGACCTGTGGGAATATAAAACATATCTAACATTCCTGTCATCAAAATCCTAGAAAGAAAGAAGAAAGGGTAGAGCTGAAAATGTATTTGAAGAAATAATGACGGAAAACTTTCCCAAATCAGCAAAAGCAATAAACATACATAGTCAAGAAGCTGAGTAAAGTCCAAATACAATAAATACAAATAAATCTATGTCCAGACATATTGGTCAGATTTCTTAAAACTAACGATAAACTAAAAATCTTGAAAGCATCAAGAGAAATCTTAACTATTGAGACTAACATTTCAAATTAGAGCAGATTTCTCATTAAAAAAACATAGAGGCCAGAAGAAAGTGGCATATCATTTTTAAATGCTCAAAGGAAAGAACTACCAACTACAAAGTTTGTATCTAATGAAAATATCTTTTAGGTATGAAGGGGGAATGACAGAAGTTTCAGATGAAGAAAAATGAAATAATTTGTCACTAAAACCTACCCTGAAAAAATGGCTGAAGGAAGGTCTCTGAAGAGAAAGAAAATGAAACAAGAAGGAAGTTGAAGTATCAAGAAGGAAGAAATAAGTTATACTGTACAAACATTAATCAAAAGGAAATAGGCATGCTATATTTATAGTAGATAAAAATGACTTCAGAACAAAGAAAATTACCAGGGACAGAAAGGGTCATTACATAAAGATAAAAGGACCGATCCACCAAAAAGACAGAAATCTTAAATGTTTGTGCACCAAAAAATAGAGCTGAAAAATGTATGAAACAAAAACTGACAGACTGAAAGGAGAAATAGACAAATCCACAGTTATAACTGAAGATTTCTAACCCTCTCTCTCAGCAACTGATAGTACTTGGCAGAAAATGAGCAAGAATATAGAACTCAACAACACTACCAACCAAAGGATCTAATCACTATTTATAGAACACTCCATCTAATAACAGATATACATTCCTTTCATGTGCCCATAAAACATATAGAAAGATAGAACATATCCTTTACTATACGACAGAACTTTACTATGTCAAAAGAATTGATCTCATATGGAATATATGCTCTGACCACAATGGAATCAAACTAGAAATTGGCAACAGAAAGACAACAGGAAAATTTCTAAGCACTTGGAAACTAAACAAACACTTACATATAATCCACTGGTCAACAGAGAAATCTAAAATGAGATAAAGGTACCAGAGGGAAAGAGGGGTGGGGGGAGTTAGAGAAGAATAAAAGGGGAATAAATGGTGATGGAAGGAGACTTGACTTTGGGTGGTGAACACACAATGTTAAACCTCCAGCAAGACTGACAAAGAAAAAAAGGGAGAAAACAAAAATTACTAGCATCAGCAATTAAATAAGGGATAGTAATACAAACCCTGCAGACATCAAAAGGATAATAAGGAAATACTGTGAGCAACTATATACAGATGATATATTATAGAATTGTATACCTGAAACCTATGTAATTTTATTAACCACTTTTACCCAAATAAATTCAATGAAAAAATTTTAAAAAGGGATATAAAAAATGCATAGAACTGAAAGAAAATGAAAGTACATTCCACAATTTGTGGAACAGAGCTAAAGCTATAATGAGAGGACATTTATAGCACTAAATGCTTGCCAGAGGGAAAGGGGTGGGGTGGGAGATGAAGGGGGCCTACTGTATGATGATGGAAGATTATTTGACTCTGGGTGGTGAGCATACAGTGCAATGTACAGATCTTGTATCATAGAAATCTATACCTGAAACCTATATGATCCTATTAACCAATGTTACCCCATTAATTAAAACAAAAAAGAAAATAGGAATGGTCTCAAATCAACAATCTAACTTCCCATATCAAGATACTGGACAAAAAAAAGGATCTAAATAAACCAAAAGCAAGCAAAGGAAGTAAACAATACAGACAATAGCAAAAATCACTGAAAATGTAAACAGGAAAGTAGTAAAAGAGATCAATAAAACTAAAATCTAGTTCTTTGGGTCAATAAAGCATGATAAACTTCCAGCAAGACTGACAAAGAAAAAAAGGGAGAAAACAAAAATTACTAGCATCAGCAATTAAATAAGGGATAGTAATACAGTTCCTGCAGACATCAAAAGGAAAATAAGGGAATACTGTGAACAACTATAGTCACATAAATCTGACAATTTACATGAAATGGACTATTTCCTTGACAATCACAAGCTACTACAACTCACCCAATATGAAACAGATAATTTGAAGAGACCTATAACTATTAAGGCATTGAATTTAGAATTTAAAAAACTCCTGCCAAACAAATATTGAGGACCAGATATTTTCACTGAAGGATTCTACCAAATGTTTAAGAGTTAATACCAAGCCTATACAATGTCTTCCAGAAAATAGAAAAGGAAGAACCACTTCCTATTTCATTTTATGAAGCTGGTATTATCCTTATAACAAAACCAAAGATAATCCAAGGAAGGAAAACTACAGACCAATGTCTTTTATAATCTTAGATGCAAAAATCTTTAGAAGGAGTTTTTTGTAGAAATAGGTCATGAATGCACTTTGGATGAGCATCCCACCTCCAGAGGTGACATTCAGGATGTCTCCAAGATTCTGGTTCTGCAGAACAGATGTGTTTCCCATAGTACCTTTTCTTTATAATACAGAATGTGTGCCACTAAAAAGAATATTTCATTTAACTTTTACAGATATGACACCAGGTCCAAAATTTGGATGATCAGCAAAGATTTGAGACTAAATGTCAAACTTAGAAATTTTCTTCACTAGACAAAACTAGGTTATCTTCAGAATCCTTTCTAGCAAATACATGTATTCTTTTTAGTCATATTCCCATAACACCTCTCTTGGTCTATCTCTTCCTGCATTGTAGGGCAATTTACTGCTCCAGTGGACTCCAGCCTTCCACAATTTAAGAAAAGCAAGGCAGTTGTTTTTCCATCTCTCACTGCCAGGGCTAGGGTAGGGAGGGGTAGAAAGTAGAATGGAGAAGAGGAGAGCAACAGATATAAGTTGGAGTCAGGTTTTTGCTACAGCAGTGAGGAGTGACTAAGGACATTCCACATTAAAGAATAATACAGGGTGGGTCAAAAGTAGGTTTACAATTGTTTGTATGGAAAATAATACAATAATGAATGAATAATAATATAAAAATAAACTTGGTGTTTCGAGTAGTCACAACTATAAACCTACTTTTGCCCCACCCTGCATTTCTAGAACACGTTCCTGAATTCCAGTCATGTATTATTAGTGTTTAGTGATCTGACCAAACTATAACGTAACCCTTTTTTAATCAAAATACAGTATAATCAATTCTTGGGAAAAAGGATTTTTATTTGAAAATTTCTGTTCTTAATTAAGGGAAGCATCCTTCTCACAACCACTCTTGACCCCATCTCACCTGCAAAATATAGCGAATTTGTTGTTTTGTAAACTCTGACAATCCTTTAGGAATCAAGGACTCAATGTCTTCCGACTGTAAGAAAAGAGAGGCTTATTCACTTTATACATTAGTATGTTAATCTTAGAGTCAGCAGTCCACAGACTTGTACATCAGGCTTATTTTTAGGGACATCAAAAGGTTATTTCACTTTTTGGGTAATAGTTGCTACAAATTTCATTTCTAACCTTCACAGTTCATACTTTTAAAAAACAGATTATACTATACCCACCATCAAAAGAACCCCCCCTGAATTTGAGACATTTTAGGGAAAAGCTTTGGGCAACCAATTATATATCCCATTTCTATTATTTTCAAGAGCAATTTAAAACCAAGAAGATGGCCCTGGCCAGGTGGCTCAGCTGGTTGGAGCATCATCTCATACATCAAAAGGTTGTGGGTTCAGTTCCTGGTTGGGGCACCTACAGGATGCAACCAATCAATGTTTCTCTCTCTCTCTTCCCTCCTCTCTCTCTCAAGTCAGTAGGAACATATCCTCGGGTGAGGATTTTAAAAATTAAATTAAAAAAATAAAAACAAAAGGATGGCCTGTTAAATCTCATTAAACACTTTATTTTGTGTATCCTTCAACAACCTTCTGGAAGTTTTGTTGTGTGGTAGACATGACATTTTAGAGGCTGATTTTAAACAATGAAAATTTGGAGAAATAAAATAATATTAAGGGTTTATTGAAAATTCACAGAGCTGTGGTGACTTTTGAAAGATGATGTTACCACAGCAACACTGAGAAGCTTCAACTAATTTTACGTGAGAAGCTGAATTTTACATGAGAATCAGTATTTTAAAATGCAATTTAGGGCTTACTGATAAATTGTAATAAATGCAGTATATCAGTAAATTGGAAACGAAGATAAAAATTAACACAAAAGAGGCCACTATGCTTTATTACATTGAAATCTGTTCTTTCTCTATTTGATGACTTCTTCTCTTAAAAGTAATTAGTAACAAAATGTAAATATATAATAGAATTAATGCTTGAAAAAATGGTTCAAGTTGTTGGCTATTTGTCATGGGATATAAAAGATTTCAAAATACATTAAAACTGAATTTTCTATTTATTTAGTTAATATAGATTTCAGTTTTATAAAGTAGAGACTATGTGGTCAATGAAATTTAAATGTCCTGATAAATAAAGACAAATTAAATCATAAAAGTGGCAGATGATAAAACTTTTTGCATGTGAATGATTTAAAATAATTACTTTTGCAGCCATTACAAAGATATAAATTCCTATATCCTTTTAAAAGCAAAATGATCATTATTTCTTGTTTCAAGTTTAGTAAATATACCAAACTAACCTGTCTTCCCAGTCTAATAAAGGTACCAAACTAAATCAATATTATTAGTGCAAATATCAGAATTTGCTTTGTTATCAACTATGTTTGATTTTTAACTCTCTTTACACTTACCTCATCTGTGGTCTCAAAGTCCTGTTTGCTGCAAGAATGAAAAAAAAAAAAAGATAGACAACCTTAGGGAAATGTATACATTGATCATTCATAAATGTTAATGTTCTAATTATTTTAGCTCACTTTTCAATATATCATAATAGCACCAATTCAATTTATAATCTAAATGGAAATTTTTAAAATAACTAACATGTAACTACACAAATATAAAGATAATTTTCTTTTAACTAGCTAATCTGTTAAAAAGAAATAATATCCAAATAACAAAGCAATAGACTATGTAGAATTGGTTAGTACCATCCATTAATACCATCTCTTTGAGGCTAGACTTAGAAATCCTCAGTGTTTGACAATAAATGCTACCTGATTAATAGTTGTACCCTATTTATACCTCCATTTTCTCCTTGTATTGTCTTTTTTCAATGCTGATTCCAGCTTCTCTCTACTGTGTTTTCAAGTTTTATCAATATCCAAACTTGCAAGACAAGACTGAGTAACTCATTCAATCTACACTACAGTATAAATGACAGAGACATAGTGTAAAGGGTATTTGGATGTTAGTATAAGGACAGACCTTAAACAACATGACCAAAATTTTAGTATAATAATAGAATTTCCAGCATCAAAATGAGGGTTTTGCCATGAGAATTGGAAGGCCCCCCTTTTTACTTATTGTTGACACCATTACAGATGTCTTCCATTTCTCATTTTTTTACTCATCCCCTTTTTGAAGCTACGTTAGGTAGGCAAATGCTGGAAGAGAATTGCTAGTAATTATATTAGTCTGGCACTTGCTTCTTGGAGGAGTAGTGAAAGCTAGGAAGGATACGGTTCTAGTGTTGTCAGTGGCAACAGACAGGCATTTATTTTTGCTAACTTGTTCCTTCCGCACATAGTGGAAGAATTGGGCCCAAAATACATTTAGTGAATATACTTCTTAAACAAACAACAACAACAACCACTAAAATCAGCACTCATGTTCTGACAGTAACATAGAATATCTTTAAGTTAGACAATCTTAGAAAATCAGATATATGATTGACATAGCCTCAGTAAAACAGAAAAATAATGTAGAGATATTAAACTAGTACATTAGCTCCTACGTTTACTTTCTAAGTGCTTATGAGTAATATATTGCTTATTGAAATAAACGGGTCACTCACTATACAAAACATCTTGCATATATTTATAAAAATATACAAGCTAATATGGAGAAGAAGTGAAGTTTTCATTTCCCAAGACATGGCACATGTGTGATCATCTGTATGTATGTGTGTGTGTGTGTGTGTGTGTGGTATTTCCTGTGTTGCTTAAAATAATAGAAATTGTGGGGAGGACATAGCAAAACAAAATGAAATATCTTCTACTTATTTAATGTTCTACTAAAGTAACTGCATCCATATACTGGAAGGTAAAACAAGTGAAAATATCAATCACAATGCAGTTTTAGTATCTTGCATTACTGTTAACTAGAATCATCACTGTATTAATAGGACTTTTATGTTTAAAATTCCTATTCCAGTGCTGACCTAGTACACATGTCACTAGTCCCTTACATATTTCTATAAATAAGAAAATAATGCAAAGAAACAAAACAAGAAACAGTCAACAGGCCTTAGTACTTGGATATTAAACAGTAACCAGAGTGGTTTTATGAGACACCTTTCCTTAATTTTGACCCTGGACCCTACTCCTTGTTGAATTGCAATTTGGAAACAAAAGGGGAGGGAGAGGGGGAGAAAGTGGAAAAACAGAGCAGAGCAGGGAGGTGGAAAGGTCAGTGTGGATTACATCTCTAGTCAGCACTGGGGATTGGTGGCTAGAATTACATAGGGGAAAAAAATAGGGTGGCCCTCACCTTATACGTCTCATCTCCTAGGAAGAAAGAAATGTAATACAGAAAAACAAAAACAAAAAACAAAGAAAGAAAGAAGGGAAAGAGGAACGGAAGGAAGACAAAGAAACTGACAACTTGATGACAAACAGAAACATTTAAACAGCAAAAGTTTTGAGACCCTCTCCATCCTAGAGTGTTTACTAATGTGGAGTTGTTAGCTTTTGATTTTTGTTGTTGTTGTTGTTGTTTTTAGCTACTCTAGGAATTAAATTCAAAGCTGTGTAGTGTTTAATTACACATTTAGGTCATCCATGTGTATTTATCAAAACCTCTAAATGAGAGAAAGTTCTTTCAAAACCCCAGATTACATCTTTACCTGGATGACTATCATGAAATAATTGCACTTTCCTTGTTTAGTTACTTTTTCTACTTCTATTTAGTATGACACTACTACATTTAGAATACATTGAACTCTCTCTCATTCTGTAAACCTTCACTGAATAGCGACTCTGTCAAGGCCATGTGCTCTGAACTGTTTTGGGGCAATACAAAACACAAATACTATCTTGTCCTGTACTTAATTTATACGAACATAATTGTTTTAAGGCAAAATTTGCACAATATAAAATTGATCTAAACCCTGTAGCCTTTGAAATTTGATGATTCAAATTTTTGATCATTTCTTTAGTTTGTCAGCAATATCTTAAACAATTTGGAGATACATATCTAGTACTGAAAGGTTAAGTGATTTGCCCAAGGAGGTAGGCTCTCAGAGTATAGATACTAGTCCCAAATTTTGCCACTTTTGTGGCCCTAAGTCAGCAATTTTCAACCTTTTTAATCTCATGACACACATAAACTAATTACTAAAATTTTGCAGCACACCAAAAAATATATTTTTTGCTGGTATGACAAAAAAAAAAAAGGTATAATTTTGATGAATTCATGCTGATAGCTATTGTTGTGTTGGTTGTCATTTTTTTTTTTAATCCTCACTCGAGGACATTTTTCCATTTTTTGTTCAGATAGAGCAGGAGGGAGAGAGAGGAAGAGAGAGAGAGAGAAATATCGACGTGAAGGGACACATCGAGTGGCTGCCACCCGCACAACCAACCAGGGCCGGGGACAAACTGCAACCGAGGTACATGCCCTTAGCGGGAACTGAACTCGGGTCTTTCTGTACCGCAGGCCGATGCTCCAATCGCTGAGCCAAACCGGCCAGGGCTGGTTGTCATTTTTTATTGGACCATTTAAGGGAAAGAGGTCAGTGCCCCTGACTAAATAGTCAGGTAGTGCATATTTTAAAAATTCTTGCAGTACAGCAGTTGAAAATCATTGCCCCAGGGTCAATGGTTCTCAAACTTGAGAATGTATCAGAATCCTCTGGGGTACTTGTTGCTGGGCCCTACCCTCAGACCGTCTCATTCTGTAGGTCTGTTTCCAAGTTCTCACATGACGCTGATGCTGCTTTTGAGTACATGTCTTGAATCATTATTTATAAGAAATCTATGAGATAGGTATTATTACTATAACCCCTATTTTACCGATGAAGAAACCAAGAAACAGAGAAGTTAAACATGTTACCTGTTATTACAAATCCAGTATGTAACAAAAGCTGGGGCATGAATCTATTTTATGAACTCTGGATCTAGAATCAGGGTACTTAAGACTATGTTTCTATATGCTCTTTTACAATGTGATACTTTGATAAAAGTATTCACGGGGCATTATTAATGCCCAGAGGAGGAACACTGAGACAAAAATGAATATCTAGGGAAGACTTTGCAGAAAAGCTAAGGCATAATTTATATCTAAAGAGTACTCAAAAATGTCTTAATTCATCTCAAGCACTTAGAAGGTATGTGACCTTAAGTTAATAACTTACTCTCTTTGCTTCTTCATTTGAAACATTCTAGGGTTACTATGAAAATTAGATAATATAGAAAAAGCACAGAGTGTGGTATATAGCAGACACTCAATAAATAATTAACTACTCTGAGTGAGGGAAAAGGTTTTAAGGTAGTGACTTATACAAATAGGTGAATCTGTGAAATAATTGTTTGGGTAATCAGAGAAGGTGTTGATTATTATAAACAGTAATGAAGGCTTAGCTTCAAAGATGGGAACTATGCATTTATAATGATCCCAATTCAAATAAATGGCTGTGCTTTGCTGTCATGGTGCTTAACTGTGTGGATGTAGCTGTAAAGAAAATATTCACTAAACAAATATTTATTGAGCACCGCACTAAGCCAGTTACCAAGGAAACCAGGGTAAATAAAACAACTCTCAAGGAGCCCTCTGAATTCTAAGGGTAGTGGAGATTGGGTACTGGATGTAGGAGATTGTGATAAAAAATAATAATAATAATGAAGCAGAGAGCTAAACGAACCCCGAGTTGGGACTTTTCTAAGTGGGAAGGACAATAAGATAAGGAGGCAAGGCAGTTGAAGGTGATGATAAGAGAATGGTTACCGTCATAAATATAAAAGCAATAAAAGCTAATGGAGAGGAAAAAATAGAATAAATGGAGAGAAAAATAGAAGCATAACAGATTAAAGATCTCTAAGAAGTACAAAAACTAGTTAGTGAGTCAAAACTAGAAAGCATTCTAATGATTTTCTCCTCCAGATTTTTATTAATGTGTGGAGCTATCCTAGATTTGGCCTGATGGATGACCCCAACTACAGGGCCGGCAAAAGTAGGTTACAGTTGTGAGTATACAAAACACTTTGTTCTTGCATTGTTTTTTATTATTTATTGTACTATTTTCCATAAGAACAACTGTAAACCTCCTTTTACCCCATCCTGTATAATGTGACTACATAGTAGAAGGCAACTTCTGAGGTGTGGCTTATGGAAATTTCTGACATAATATACTCCTATCTACACATGACCAGATGATAAATTGTTTATTTGTATATATAATTATATAATTATTTATTACTTATTGTATATCATTGGGTACATATTTCTATTTATATCATTTTATGGTTATTTCTATAATTTATATTTCATATATGCAATATAATATTAAAATGATACCTAATATTTATAGTATATAACACTGAATGTATATTGAACTCTGGCCTTCATATGTTGAGCATGTATCAGTGGAAGATAAACAGTAATGTACTGGCAGTGTGATTGTATCTTGTATCATCAGTATAATATCTTAAAACAAGTTCTAGTATATCATACATTTTTTCAGCTCCTTGCCCAAGAGGCTGCATTTGCCATCAAAGTACATTACAAAAGCAGGTGTACAGAATTCTTGACTGATCCTGAAAGAGCTGGTGGTATCTCTTTGATGATTTTCATAAAGTACATGAACTCAAAATGAGATATTTGCTTTTATCTGCTCACATAATTGTGCTGTTTCTCCATTAAAAGTACTAGAATTTTTCTGTGGACCTAAAGCTGCTCTAAAACTAGTCTGTTAAAATACTAGAGCATTGTAAAATGTTTGATAGGTACACTATCAAGGAAAATTATGTATTTACCATACCTTCCTCCAATTCTCTGCAAATGTTCTAATAGGCAGTGATACAGATCTGTATTTTTGCGGCTTAGATCTGCAAGTAACTCTCCAAAATACTTGGGGTCCAATTTCTCAGGGCCATCATCCTGAATTATCACCTGAAGAAAACATTAACCTCAATTACAAACAATATTAAGTATTTCTAAATTTACAAATGTCTTTGATATAAATTTTTTAAAAAGAGGAATAACCGATTAACACAACTAACTAATGACAGTCATCTCATGGATCAAGTCACTGAATTTTTTTTTTTTTTGCATCTGGGGTATACATTTTTCAATACGGTAGAAATTTAAAGGAAAAGCAACATTGTAATACCATTTTAAATTTCATTTCACTTAAGTCTACATGACCCATTGTATGGAAAACTTGAATAACTTATATAAAGATTCTGGAATATAAATGCTTAAATAAAACAGTAAAACAGGTAAATGAAAATTTTTGAATTGCCTGTTATCACCACATGGCTTACCCATCTGCCCCCTTTTGGGAAAGAAAATGTAAATTATTTGAATTATACTGACTATAGGGGATTTAATTTCCTTTGGACTTGTTTCTTCCCAGTGAAAGTCAGCTTGATTTATTAGTACATCTTAAAGTTACATTGAACAAACCTTCTTAATTCAATGTGCTTTCGTGTATTTCTTGTTGGAGTCCCTCCATTTATTATTAGGACTGAATATCCAATCAATCTGACATTCGAAAGAATAACTCAGGGCCAAATGTAGAAAATTCTTAGACCCTAGAGTCTTTTGAAATCCTAAACACAAAATACTATGAATAGTGTCCTAAATAAGACCTATTCTAGTAACTTCATATCCTTTGGTACCAATCTTTTCAATATTGTCATCGATCTTGCCTCTCATCCCCAAAACAACACAACCTGGAGGTTACTAAGTTAGGTTGTGTTTCATACTGTATGTGACATTGCATGTGGGACCAAAGGTGTCCTATAAACATACATATTCCTAAGTATATGTATGATAAATGGACTTTAAATTTGACCTATGATGCTTCCTTTCAACCCATCCTCTGGATGAAGACTAAACATTCATGCTTTCTGAGGCAAATGGAAGGATTGCAAAGTAAGCAAAGATGAGTTTTTATGGTTATATCTGGGATATTATAATCCATTTATAAAATACAGATAAATGGGAAAAAAGCCATACTCAAAATACAGTATAGTATCATCATGTTTGTATTAATACATAAATTTTTTCACTTTTTCAAAAGTCTGAATGAAAACAACAGTGTGATCTTATTCATATGCCTGCCCAAGTTGCTTTCTCAGAGAATGATTGCTTCTTAAACTACGTAATCTACATTACACAGTATATTAAAATGCCATAGAATTAATAAGTTGTGTGTATTCGATATAAAACCTTTCAATGCTTACATGAGCATAGTAACACATTCTATCTCCCAACATGCTCTCTGGTTTCAGCAATAGATTTCACTTTCCTAGGCATACATCATGTTATTCCTGCCTCTAGTCTTGACTCACATTTTTGCTGCTTTGAATGCTCTTTAACAACTGCTGTGTCTCCAAATCTTACCCATCCTCTGAAATCCATCTCAAGATCTACTACCACCATAAAAACTGAAACTATTCTAGCCAACAAGCTAGTACAATTTAGCTCTTTGTGCTCAATTATCTTGAATGTTTTAAATATTATTTTAGTATGTAAATTTTGTTCTCTCAGCACACTCTCTCATCTAAAAGAAATAACAAACTTAAGAGTAAAAGAATGAGTCATACTTTTTAGTGTATCCCATAGTTTCTAGCACAATACTGATTGAACACCTTATAGTTGCTCATTAAGTACTTGTTAAATTGAAAAAAGTAATTTAACTGGTTAGAAGTGACCTCAGATGCCAGCTGATTCTGGAAATAGTTTTTTAATAGGTTTATCTCTGAAAGTAGCTAACCAGGAATGATTTAAATAGCCAAAAAGAGCATAGGCTCATCCTTAAGAATATTATGTCGCCTGGCCGGTGTGGCTCAGTGGACTGAATGTTGTCCCATGGACTGAGAGGTCCCAGTTTCATTCCTGGTCAGGGCACATGCCTGGGTTTCGGGCTCGATCCCTAGTAGGGGGCGTGCAGGAGGCAGCCGATCGATGTTTTTCTCACATCAATGTTTCTTTCTCCCTCTCCTTTCTTCTCTCCCTCTAAACAACAACAACAACAACAACAAAACAAGCTTAACTGGATAAGAGGAAAATCTAGCTGTCATGTCAATGTCATTTCATTGATCTTCAGTTATTTCATTGTTGTACTGCCTCATCTCTCTATTATATCCCTTCTAAAACTAAGTTTCCCAAGTAGAAGGGCATTTATTTAACCAAAGATATTCTAGTACTGAGCATTCCTATTAGAATCTCCAAACAACCAATTGAATATGTTTAGTGTTTTGCACATTTTTGTCATGATTATAATCCCCTCATCATACTGTGAAAATTATGTTTCTTTTATCCTTCAAGTTCGATTCATTTGGCATAGTACTTTCAGAGTTTCAAATTGTCTTGAACTATTTATTTCTTTAAAAATTTTGCACAAATATTTTCCTGTCACTGCATTGTACACCAATAGGCATTTTACGTACGTAAGTCTTTACCCTCATGAATCTTAATGCCATTACTACAATTTTTACTCATGTGATTTTTATGCGGTGACAAATTTAAGCACCTAGATAGAGAATCACAGAGTCCAGAACAAGGATTTACATGAAAATTGTATCTGTTTTCATAGCTGGAAAGAAGTGTTAAAAGTTACCAAAGGTAAGTGATTTTATTTTGAGAAATTATAGTAACTAATATCTAATATTTATTTATTTATTTATTTTTAAGTGTGTGTGTGTGTGTGTGTGTGTGTTTATCCTCACCTGAGGACATTTTTTCCTTTTTTGTTCAGATAGAGTGGGAGGGAGAGAGAGGAAGAGAGAGAGAAACATCGACGTGAAAGGGACACATCGAGTGGCTGCCACCCGCACGAACTGCAACCAAGGTACATGCCCTTAGCGGGAACCAAAACCGGGTCTCTCTGGACCGCAGGCCAACTCTCTAATCGCTGAGCCAAACCGGCCAGGGCTAAATGTGTTTTTATTTGTCTTTTAGAGACAGAAGGGAGAGGGAGAGAGAGAGAGAGAAACATTGATGTGAGAGAGAAACATTGATCAGCTGCCTCCTGCACGCCCCCTACTGGGGATCAAACCCGCAACCCAAGCATGTGTCCTGACCGGGAATCGATTTGGTGACCTCTAGGTACATGGGATGATGTTCAACCAACTGAGCCACACCAGGCAGGCATAACTAATATTTATTAATCTGTTACTATATGCCAGGCATTGTGCTGTAAATATTAAATTAAGTAATGTTGTCTTGTAATCACTACACAATATTGCCTCCCCAGATGACCTTTTCTGTTTGTTTTCTTAGTTACTTGGGAATTACACTGTCCCTAACTGCATTATTTTGGAGGTTTGTTGTTTGATTTTCTTAGTGTGAAATGATGCTAAGTATGTCTGAAGTTCAGATAATAATGAAAGAATTGGTTCTTTTGGCAAAAGACATGTCAAGGTAGAAAAGAAGGAAGCAAAATTTCGTTTCTTTGTGTATATATTCACTCAGTTTTGTACAACTTACAAAAGTTTTATACAACTGTTTTGTACAAAGTTTTGTACAAAGTTTTGTACAATTGACAATACCATTTGAGTAACACTCTGTAAAATCCAAAACCCAGTTAAGTTCAAAAGTTTGGAGGGGAGAGGAAAGGCAGAAGTCAGCTTCTTTCTCATCTACAGTTAAGTCTTTGACAGGACTATGCTCAACAATAATATGAAATTTCTTAATCTGTGATGTGCCAGTGAGCAATGTTTTCCATTTACTAAGTCACAGGTCTTTAGAACTTCTTAGTTTTGTTACTGTTGGTTGGTGAGTTTTGAGCTATCTTTTAGAGTTGGCTCAAAGCCGTGTGTGTGTGTGTGTGTGTGTGTGTTTGTATATATATGTATGCAAACACATTTTTAAAAATTCTCAAAGAGGAATAGTGGGGGGAAAAGCTATAATAAAATAACATGACACTGTGGAAATGTAATCTGTAAACTGGGAGTAATAAAAGCCATGCTCTCATTGCATCGAAAAAGCCAATATAGTGAGTTTTGGGTCAGAGTAATGATAGAAAAATGTTAGCTCTGGTGGATAGAGGTTTTCTCTCTGTGACCATACTCAGTGGATAGGATACTTGAGATGAGTGCATACTCTATATCTACTCTTCTGCCTGATGGAGGAGAGCTGTTTCAAATGTCAATTTTGGACAATAGCTTTAGCTTTTTATATATAAACAGGGCAGGGGTACAAACTGTGCTAAAGAATTGTTGTTTCCGGAAAGATACATAAAATGTGATATTTCTCAAAAAATAGTACAAGAAATATTAGCGATTCTTTAGCATGCATTGATCAAGTATCTTTAATTAGATCACTATTTGACTATAATAATGGTCAAGCAGTCCAACATCTTGTCTCTGACTGCAAATGAAAAACAAAAATCAATTACCTTTTATTTGAACTGCTGCCACAAACTCAAGGCAAGGCAACAATGTTTAGGTGTGAAAACAGAGGTATATTAATGATCACGTCTCAGAAAATTGTTAGAAGGGAATTACTTTGTAAAGGGAAACCATGGGCCTCACCTCGCTATTGCCTTGGACATTCTTGTCCTGGTTCCAATTTGGGGTTTTGTTTCTTATTTGTGGTCTATGAAATTCCAGGAGTAGAATTTTCTTGCTAGCATCTACATTATATTAACTTTGACATTCAAAGATAATGCTTTTGACCAACCATATTTACAAAGTTTAATGGTAGTGACAATAAAACCCTGTAGATAGCAAGCACACGACAGTTATGGATTTTGGCTGAGAGATCTAAATTTTCTTGCCTTCCCCCTCTCTTCAAACTTAATGATGCACATTTGTTAGAAATGTTGCTCAGGACTAGGGATAGTTTGTAAGCAAGGTACACTTACAACCCAGTAGTACAGGGTGTTGGCTTAATTAAATTTATTTCCACTAAGTAACTGGCTTAAGTGTGTGCATTTTTCA